TGAAAAGGCAGCAAGTAAGAGACTCTCGGGTCAAGTCACATCTAGATTGTGCGCGGTTTGGGGTGAAGTGGTCACATGCTGCAGTCGAGGGTGTTGGCGTGTCATGGCTAAAAGGTGCTACAAGTGTTGGTAAACAACAGTCGGCTTACAGTCTCATAAAAGTTTGCTCCAGACCAGCGTTGTGATGATTCCCAGCTGAAAATGTTTCGCTAACATTGGAAAGGTTTGTTGGGTGGAGTGTAGTTGTTTTCAGATGAAGGTGGAGTCCATGGTGCTGGTGTCTTGCGTACTGCGGGCTCGAGCCTCAAAAAGCTGTTTTATCAACGCCGACTTCTCCTGCTCCAGCTGGGCGATCCGCTCGCTCCTCTCTGTCACCTCCTTCATGAAAAGAAGGAAAATAAAAGAAGTGAGTGACTTTAAAAAGCAGCAGTACTGACTGGCGACCTCTGTCTGTCAATGTGTAGACTGTGTTGAACCTGAGTGAGAAGTCGGTTCTGGTCCTTCAGCCTCTGGATGGCTTGGGGAGGAGCTGGACCCGGAGGCTGGGGGTTAGCTGCTGTCTGAGCAGAGCTGGAAGGAAATGACTGCTGGGGAAACAAAGAGGGACCGGTCTTAAAGGGAAAGTGTCATCATTTACGTCTGGAATACGGAACTTCCCATAACTTAGTACAGAGAGGAATTTCCCTGAATTGAGTTGAATATTCATGCAACACTCACAATCCCAGAGCAGGAAATAAGGTCATTTAGGCAGCGGTTGACTTCTTGCAATTTGGGTATTAGAACATTCATGCGACTCTGATTGGCTTCTGTGAAGAAATCCTGAGAGGAGAGAATATAAAAGACAATTCAAATTCAAGAAAGTAGCAAAAGGTCTTAAACAAGGCGACCAGGAGGGATGATGGCTTAACCAACCAAGGACAAACTTCAGTAAAAGGAAGTTGATTTAAAGTAGGTAATAAGCAGGATACTCTGAGGAAGAACTGTGCCAAATAATGTTTCCAATATAAGCAAAACCATGATATTACTGAGGCTACTGTGGGAAGAAAAATATCTGCCTCTTCCTCTACCACGAGGTATTGTACCCTGTGGTAGAGGGTACTACTGAAAATTTCATGTTCAGTAGTCAATCTGTGGGACTGACTCCAAAATCTAATACTTAGTGTTTATGTTTAGGTCAAATGAATAATCTTCAAAAGTTTGTATTTTGAAAAAAGTTCAACAGCTATAAATCTTCATTACATATGTGCTGGAAATATATTTTCATCCATAGCGATTTAAAACTAAACAGTTTGCGTCTTAAACACTTTTAACAGTCTGTGTTTGAACTGACCGTGGAGTGGGAGCTTTGGCCGACCTGCCGCTGTCTCTCTGTGACGTTGTGGATTTGGCTCTGGTACCAGTCGCGGGCCCGCTCCACCACCTCCAGGCCTGCCAGCAGAGAGTCCTTCTCCTGCTCCAGCTCTTTCATTTGCTTCAACTGTGCGAGTTGAAAGTTAAAAAGGAGGGTACGTTGTTGGAAAGTTTTAAAAAAAAAAAAATGGAGGGGGACGGGAAAGGGGTAGAAGAGGAGAAAGAGGAAAAACAACGTGATTAGGAACAGACAAAAACAAACCTGCCTGAAGTCACACAGAGACAGAAACATTACATTTTATATTCCCCACGCCATCACTAAGAGAGCTTTCAGGTCGACGCCAGGATTAAATCTAATTTTTGATTTCTGGCTGCCGGCAGCCTGCATGGTAGACAAACTCCCATCTTTTCACAAGGGCATCTGCAGCAAACTCTTTTGTGCTGGCGGAGACAATGGCGCCGCACCAATTGTGCCGGACTCTCTCTCTCCCATCCTGAACACTGTTTAGAGGAGCAATCAGTCCGGTGGCATGGCAACAGCTCAGCAACCTAAGAATGGGGGTAAACAGCACTTCGTGTGTGAGAAAGATGCGAGTGTGAAAGAGAAAGATGCGAGTGTGAAAGAGAAAGATGCGAGTGTGAAAGAGAAAGAGAAAGGTGTGAAAGAGAAAGAAAGATATGTGTGTGTGTGTGTTCACCCCAGCAAGGCTGCATTGAGTTGTGCTGACCAGGCTGTCCATGCAGCACACTGCCACAGGCCTCATTGCTGGCATTCAGCCACCTGGTGTGTCAAGCTTTCTATCCACCCATCATGTCCCCTGTTGTAGCTCAGTACATTCCTCTGATCATCGCTCACCAGTGCTGTTTAAAACACAGCCATGCTCGTACACAGCGATACGTGTTGCCAAAGTGGACTAAAACAGGACGAGGCATTTCAAGAGTCTCGAATCAAACCCCGTTTAAAATATGTGTGCTCTTGGTAAAAAGAGCCCAAAGTGAGGGGACACAGAGAGGAGAGGGGGGGGGTCTAGAATGAAGCATGACCCGGTGTCAGGCTGCTTGAATGTGTGGTAGTCCACAAGCAGGAACACCCTACAGTTTAAAACAATATATAGAAAATACAGAGAGGGAGCAGAACAACAACTGTCTGAAAGCTTATGGAAAGTATGTGCATGTATGTTTGTGTGCTGGCTGAGTGAGCAGGCATGAATACACACAACACGCATACAATAACATGACACACGTTGCACAAGCTGTTGAGTTGAAAACACAAAGAAGAACACAACGGCCGTTCAACTACAAAGCACCATGAAACTGTGTGGCCTGAACCTTGAAGCTCTACAATATATCAGCAGATCAGCAGCAACATACAAATCCAAAAGATGTTTAAAGCTGCAGCTAACAACTACTTGCATGCATTCATCTGTCCACTATTTTTCTGATTATTCGATTAATTGTTATTGACGGTATAAAAACCCCAAATATATTCAATTTAGCTTTATATTAAAAAGAGAAAAGCAGCAAAATGAAACCAGGAAGTATTGGCATTGTCTTTCTTTATCAATGACTTATGTCAATTCAATTCTGTCAATCACTTCCTCTCGGCTCTATCCAAAACCTGAAGCTCAACAATACCACAACAGGTTAGAGTTAACAAGACCCAAAGTCCCTGGAAGAGGGTTTTTTTTTTTTTTTTTATTATTGATCTGTCAGTTACGTTTGAAATCTTAGGAAAACACTGACAAAAATGCAGATCAAGTTATTGGTTGTTTTGTCTAACAGTTCATAAGTCAGAGATATTCAGTGACGATGATCTAAAACAGAAAAGGTAGTAACCACACTTGGCATTTTCGCTTCAACACCGAATCCCCCCCCAATTCTATAAATCTCAACAGTCCAAATTAAATATCAAAACAACCATCTTCAAATCATGAAATGCACTCATTACCAAACCATCTCAAAGAGTGACTTAGATGTTCTATCCTGTACAATCATCTCTCCCTTTCCTTCTCCCTCTCTCGTCCGACTCACCCAGAGGAAAAAGTGCAGGGCCTTGCTGCTGTACAGGCTGCTGCTGAGGGGGATGAAGACGGTAGTGTAGGCAGCCAACACGGCTGTCCAGGCTGGGCCGGGCCGGCCGAGCGAGTCCTCTACTTCTATCAGGCCCCTGGGCCCGACCCGGCTCACTACCATCAGGGCAGCAGCGGGCCAAGGCGGCCTGGGTGGGAAGGCCAGGGGCAAGGGGGGAGTGAGGAGGGGAGCCGATCAGTCGGCCTCTCCAGACACCGAGGCCGAGGGGAAAGAGACGGAGACGGCGACACAAACGAGGAGAGAAAGAGGGAGAGGAGGCGAGCTGGAGAGGGTGAGAAATGGTGAGGCAGAGGGAGAGACGAAGAGTGAAGGGAGGCATGAGCTCCCGACTGGAGGATGGGAGGGGCAGAGTGAGGGGGAGGCAGACGGGAGAGGGATGGGAGGCCAATGTGGGGGCCAATAGAGAGCTGGAGAAGAGCCTCCACTAGAAAACCTTTTCCTGGAATTCTCATGCTTCCACTGTTTACTTTTCCAGATGCATAAAATATTTTATCTTTAAAACCCTCAATCCCTCTCATATCCAATCACACTGAAAATCAACGATTTAGTCCAAGCCGACCCGGGTCTCTCTGAAAGTCTGTTACTGATCCTCTCATCCTGAAAACTATGAAAACTCCCAGTTTTACCAGTGAAGACCAGAGGTTTTATAAATGTAGTGATATTTTTGAAGAAGCTGTCTAACAGGGTTCTTCACAGGTGAATAGAAACTGGGTGGAGCCACAGAAGACCCATGTATGAGTGATGTCGACCCATGACCTGGTTTGCTGTTCATCCAGTTATTAATGAAGTGTATCCATGTACATTACTGACATTCAGAACTGTTTCTAACTGAAACATGAGTAAGACTACGGCCCAGGCGGGGCTCCTTTTTATAAAAACCTTTAAGACTGTGTGTGTGTGTGTGTGTGTGTGTGTGTGTGTGTGTGTGTGTGTGTGCCAGCCAACCATTCCATAATCCACGCCGTTGGTTATGGTATGCCGCCTCTGCTCTTCCCGACTCCGCCCGTGGCGCCTGGAGCCGCCGGTAAATCCGGTTGCTGATTCACTCTGAGATCTTGGTAAACCTGATTTCACAACATGACAGATTTAATAATTGCAGCATGACTGTGACAACAGTACAGGGAAAGCATACTTTGGGCAATCTTTTATGAAAAAGTACAACTTCACGAGCTAAGAGGCAGCGTTTTTACACAACGGTTATATCATATACTTTATGTAATCATGTATTTTCCCTTCTACATAGGGAAACACTCAAATTGCATCACTTTACAAAGGGTATGTGCCAGATTCAGCAAAATCCAGGTGAGTCTGAAAACAGTCCATCACATAAGCTAAAAGAAATGTATATAAATTTTATTTATTCGAAGAATAAGTGTCCCGTTTTGTACACTGCAGACGAGACATTAATTTGGCCTGATGAGGCATTGGAGTTGCCCGTGTACACCACAGGAGGGAGCTATACTCTGCCAATGTGTCTGGAAGCTGAACTCAATCATGGTCCCTTGTTAAATGACTTGACTGAGGGAAGAGTTCAGTGGAGCAGACAGAAATATGTTACGTTTCTGAGCTTAAACATACTGTCGAGAGAACATCTCTGAAAGCTCAACTAGACGGTGCAACCTACTTCAGTTAAAGGAAGTCCTTCCATCAGAGAAAGACGGAGAGTCAGACTTCTGTTCACTTTAGCAAACCACATCTGCCAAGGAAGATCATGCGATATGATAGAAAGCTCCCAAACGGCTACTAAATGGGCCTAATGTTGAAATTGTTTCGTGAGCTGCTGTTTCCAAACTCGAGAACGAACTTTGAAACCCAACTCGGTTATTCCAAAGATAACATATGAAAGGATTTCCCTGCCTGATTCTCCTTAAACTCACATTAAATCTCTGCTCCGTTTTTTACATGTTTTGGAGGATTTCCAAGTCGTGCAGCTCTGATGAAGTGTGTGAGAATGGCGTGACTTTGCGGTGATGTCCGGGGTGTTGGGGAGGATTTCACCGCTGCCGTGATTCACTGAGCCCAGGACTTTCTGCTGTAATCTGGTCTAATCCAACAGGGTTTGGCTGCATGTGAGAGATTACGGCACGGACGCCGCTGGTCTGCCGGTGGACGCCCGAACCCAGTAAGTGGACATAACATTACGCACATATGTGATTTTTGGACATCAATATGCTGCTACAACAAGCCTCCGCTCCTCTGGAAAAGCTTTCCACAAGATTTTTGGAAGGTGGCTGCAGGGATTTGATCCCTTTAGCCACAAGATCAACTGATGTTGGGTGATTCATTCAAACTCAGAAAGCCTTCTTTTCATGGACCTCGCTTTTTGCACAAGGCATTGCCATCGTATCATTGCATATTTTAGCATTAAGTTTTCCCTTCATTTGAGCCAACAAGAAAAGTACACAAAAGTATGTGAACTTTCGGTCGTATGGCGTATCTGTCCATCTATTTAGCAAAACCACTGTACTAGTGCAGCCAGTGGTGTAAGCAGTGAAAAGCCCCGAGGGCTCGACAGAGTGCGAGAGCGTCACTCTGATAGCTCCAGACAGGCCTGGCTTTACAGAGATCAGGCAAACTCGGACAGACTAGTTGAGTGTGTGAGTGTGAGAGAGAGAGAGAGAGAGAGAGAGAGCGAGCATGTGAAATAACTGTTATGATTGTGAGAGGAAGAGGAACACACGTGAGTTTGTATGAGAGTGAGAGCCTGTATGAACAAGATAATGAGCAGGCAAACTGGGAATGTTTGGGAATGGGAAGCAGCAGCTCCTCTAACCTACATCCATCTCACTAGGGGAAAGCGGTGCAAATGAACACGCATACAACTGCCCCCCACCCCTCCCCCAGCCGGGGGGGCCAGGGAAGGATGGCCCCCCCCCCCCCCCCAAGTTAAAACCCTCAAGATAGATAAACTGCTGTGGGAATTTCTGACACGACCTCTGACCTGACCTGGGGTTAACAACGGCAATTACTCAACTAGCCACCCATAAAAAGCCCTTAAACGGGGCCTGTTGAAGCTGTGACATAACACTGTTTTTGACCCTTCTATGATGCAGACGTGCTGTTTTCTTTTTCACATCGTATCAATTGAATATCTTTGACTTTTGGACAGTCGGTCAGACAAAACAAGCAATGCAAACGCCTCATCTTGGGCTTTGGTGATAGTTCTTTTTTTCTATTAATGTTTAGTGAAAAATACCCAACAGATAAAACCAAAATCTCTTTTGACAGCAACAGCTTGCTTGAGCTGTTGATTGGCAGGTGTGTGTGTGTGTGTGTGTTTAACTTATTGACATAAGTCTTCCATGAAGTCAGTAAACTGTCCATAAACCCCCCCCCCCCACACACACACTATTCATACCTATTTATATGGGCTTTCATGGCTCCACTTACTTGGTCCTTGGAGCTGCGGTGACTCCAGAGCCAGTGACTCAATGGACCTGACCCGGCTCTGCTGGGACTGTGTGGGTTTGGTGGCATGTCCCGGGTCGGCCCGGTAACACCCGCCCCCCGGAGCGACGGAATTCTGCTCCAAACTCCGCCCGGACCTGTCGAAGCCCGCGCCGTACCGCACCGGTCCACACGCGGGGTACCCGGGCCCCTCCTCCGGCCTGCCGCGGCTCTGCAGGGAGGACGCCCGGTGCTGCAGAGTGTTGGTCACGTTGCTCGGCCCCAGCGGACGGACCTTGTTCTCGACCCGGGTCCCAACGCTGCATGTGGACAGCGGGGCGGGTTTCTGGGGATGCTTCGGTGCCTGCTGTGGGTACACGGCAGCCTGGGCCCTGAAGTGCGCGCTGTGCTCCGGGTTGAGCATGGAGTAGCGCAGCCCCGCCACGAACCGCTCAAAGGTGAGGCAGCCATGCGGCGGGGTGACCCTCCGGAGGCAGCCCAGCACCCCGCCGGGCAGATCCCGGGTGTCTGCCCCCTGCCAGCGGCTCTCGATCTCCGAGATGTGGACATAGCCCCGTCCACCATCATCCAGAATGTCAAACAGGGTCCTCAGGCTGTGCAGGAACGCTTTGGGCAGGCCATCTGTTGAGTACTCCGTCTCCTTTGGCTGCATTTTGGCAGGTTTAAAGCCCTCCGCGTTGCCTTGAAACACTTCTTTTCTCGGTCCAACTCGGCCGTAAATCGCCGACGTCCCGTTCAACTTGCAGCCCTGATCGGTCGCTATCAAAGCCATGGATGCAATGATAATCTCCAACGACTAATCAATCAAAAACACACCAAAACAAGTTGGCTAACTTTATACAAACACACAGCTGAACATACAGAATAATACAACTAATACCTGCTTTACTTAGCAGCGGACTGCATCTCCGAATAAAGCTTTTTAACCTAAAATATTCCCTATATTTAACCCACCTTCCCGTCGAAACTCCGCTGCTCTGTGATCCATACTTTCCTTTTTCTAGCGAGGACCGCCCCGCAAACGGCTGTGCGTGAGCGTCCGGGGACCAGCCATTGGCCGCGGTGTGCACGAGCTCGCCGCTCATTGGTGCAGGCCCGAGGTTGGCTCCAGTTTGAGTTGTGCTTTTGTTATTACTAATGCTGAGACGTTATTCATAAAGCCTGGATATTATTACCCCCCCCTCCATATAATCAGAAAGAGCTGGGTAAACTATCACACGCAGCCGCAACGGGGAACAGACTCTCTTTGTTTCACATAATCCAAAAACTTTCAAGTTTGGATGGAATGTACGTCATTTTTATGAGTAAACGGTTCACCCATTTATGTGGATTATAAATCTCAAAATGTACCATTATTGTTCAATGTAAAATCACTGTTCAATATTGTAATGTTACATAAGCAGGGATTTGATGGTTTATTTTACATTTACCTGTAATTTTCTGGAAACTTAGTCAGATATTTTACAGAACTTCCTTTAACAACAATACTTTATTTAGCATTTGCAGCTCCAAGTTTATTTAGCCTAAGAAGAAGAATTTTCTTAACCCACAAAAACACTTAATCCTTCTGTTTATCAGAACAAAATGCCAACCAACTAAAGGAAAGTGCATGGACAACTGTAATCTAACTAAAGCAGGCTGACAATTATAGTGAAGTAGAAAGTATAACACCTCAAATCTGTACTTGTAGGCTACTTATGTGTACTTAGTTTCATTCCACCAATGACCCCTTGTCTGAATAAAACGGATTGAATTAAATGATTAAACTAAACCCATCTACATTTCTTGGGCAAAATAAAGACGCTTGTGTGCAATGTAGAAAAAAAATAGCCCAATTCAAGGATTGTTGTGGAGCTCCTAAAACGTGAATATTATTATACAAATGAACCAAAAGGTCAGCAAATACAGAATTTACTGAGCAGCTGTTCTGTCAAGTAGTTGCCATTTTTATCGATGTGCAATTTCTAATGCATTACTGTACACGCATCCTTGCTTTTAAGCCTATTATCGTTCATAATCTTCTACTAAAATAATCTAATTTTCCATACAGGAGTTACTTGCTTGTATGCATTTTAAAGTAACCACTGATTGGATTTGGTTACAATTAACACAAGCCCCAACCCCCAAATTAGGCTACTATGTGTCGTGACAATGACAATATATAATCCAATCTAAATAAGGTGTGAACTGTGTTTCTTCCTCCCTCCAAAGACCCTTTCATCATCGGCTTTGACACGAATTACTGTGATATGAAGGTTTTGTCAGTCAGGCAGGAAAGCTGCATTCCACATCCCTGCACACGACTCAAATCCAACTTTCATTGAGTCAAAACCCATCGCAAACCATTTCAGGGACTCTTCTGGTTTTCTTTCTCTGGGGATGAGTCACGCGAGAGAAACTCTCTGTCCCTGCACAGCCCATGTTTATCTCAGACCTGCCCAGACTTGAGCTCTCATCTCGTCTTCATTTGTGAAACCTTTAGCTGTGATTCATGTTGAAGCTGCTGTCACACTCTGACAAAGGAATCCCTGTGATTTACCAACTGCCTGATCCATATCATTCAGTTATTTTTTTCCTGGCAGACCAGGTGTTTAATCACACTTTTCCTCCTATGTACATCAAATGCACTTTACATTTTTCCGGCTGAAAGAGAGGACACATAATCAACATATCCTGTCGCCCTCCCTTTGACAGTCAATCACAACATATCAATTTGTGACTCTAGGCTAAAGAGGAAGGTCCAAATAGATCAGATGTTCAACTACTCAATAGTGGTGTTTCACAGTAGAGATGCACGGTGGGGATGAGATAAAAATGCTGTAAATTGTGTTTATTTTGGGGCTTTTTTTTCCCACACTTGCTTGTTATATAACCGACAAAGTGAAAGAAAGCGGCGGAAGAGACTCACTCGCTGTCCAGTTGCAGTGATCACTTGACTCACGGGGTCAGACAACTGAGCACTCCCTCCTGCTCTCCTCATCTCTGTTTCTCATGTTGTCAGGCACACGCACTGCTGCCAAACACACACTAACACACACTTTACAAGCCATGCCAGTGAGACCAAGCGTGCAAGGCCAGTCCATATACCGCTGTTTGTTTCAATTATTGGACATGTACAGATCCTCAGCTACACTGGACAGTCACTCCTCTCACGCAACACACACGCACACAATCTTTTCCCTCATTATCTCCTGTTCTATGTTTCTCTGCAGTCTTTTCCTTCAGCAGCATCAGTGTGCATGCGACAATGGATTTGAGAGCTTATTCAATTCACGAAGCCTGTTTTTATTTTTTTGGGGGATGGAGAACGACAAAAAGATAATTCAAAACATTCAAATCTTGGCTGTGTTAAATCAGATTGAATTACAGTGCGAGGACGAGAGCGAGTGGGGGTGGAATCAGCACACAGATGGGGGAAGAAAAGATGAACATTGAAGCAAAGCTACATTCTTATCTTCCCTTATTCAGATTGCTTAGGCGCCATTTTTTCGGTTACAAACACTGTATAAAAAAAAAAAAACGTTTCCCCGATATGAGCTGGTGTTCTCAGAGTTGGTGAACTTTCTTTAGCTTGTTCTCAGTGAATCAAGGCCCTGGACTTTGGTCCAGGCTTCAATCACTCGAGGTGTTACAGCCTGAAAGACTCAATTGTTTCGATGGGTTGCACTGCATGGTGCAGAATTTATGTTGCCAACATCTTATTGTACAAAGTAGTTCAGCTATGCAAATCACTTGCAGTAGATAACATCTGTCTTTGTGAAGGGGATGAATGCTGCACCTGGATAAGATCATACTTTCGTGTCTCTGCATCTTTTATCTGATAGAGATGGCAGTTTAGAATTCAAACTTTTGATTCAACAGGCATGAAAGACTGGTATGTACTGCATATGTATTAACATTTTAATGTAATATATGTTACTTTGATGAATGATTTTGAGATACATATATTTGCATCTTTAACATGTGTTGTGGTATTTCTACTTTGCATATTGGGTTAAAGGTGCTGGGGACTTCTCTTTCATGGTACAGTCTTTTTTTGCCCTCTGTGTTTGTTAACAACATGAACATGTGGGTGTCTCTGTCTGTGGACGAGGGGAGGATTGATCAGTCTTGCGTTATTGTACTCTATATATCTGCATTATTGACGAAATATATCACACGCCTATTCAACACTTTTGTCCCAAGCAACTTCAATTTAAAAGGAACAAGATATAGATGTCTAAAGTTACAGTACATATATAGTCCGTCAAGATATATCTTTTATTATTGTATCGTTTACATTTGAGCAATGAAATAAACAACAAATGTATAAGATGGCAGCCTTTAGCAGGATGGAAGATCTAAAAGTCACATTTACAACTCAGAAATTCTTTCATCCTCAGAGTTCGTTTGCCTAAATCCAGTGAAAATGTCTTTTTAAAACGGCAGACACTGCACTGTTCATTACAGCATCACTGTACTGAAGGCCGATGGTTGTTTATCTATTTCAGATGATGAATTATTCCATGATGATTTGCTCTCTGTAGTCCAAGGCAAACGTGATTTAGCTTTAACTGGTTTGGTTGACCCACCAGTAACACGGCTCTGCAGATCCCATGAGGTATACAGTGACAACTAGTGTCTGGTTTTAGTAGAGCAGCGTTAATTCAGTTGCATGTCAAACAAACGCGTCCAAATAATACCGGCTCACAAGCTTAACATCGGAATCCTCCTAAAAACCCAAAGTAATTCCTGACCTCTGATTTGGGAAACTCGTCTGTTTATCCACACAGTAATGCTGTTATGACATTCAAAAGCTCCTCAAACTCAAAAAAATGACATAATTCATGTGGTGTATTGCAGAAATGTGAATTAAAAAAACCCACTGGAATGCAATTAAATACAGAACGTACTATCTCACATTCAGCACTTTCTTTAGTCAACACATCATGAATATTTAGAGCATTTTCTCAAAAAGGTCTAGTTAAATACAGTAGACACACAAGTTTGTTCACTCCATCACATCGCCATATTTTGTCTTGTCAGTTCCTTCTGGTACCTCTGGTTTGGACACTGAAAGAGAGAAATGTACAGCATTAAAGTCTGCAAACTGTCATTTGGTTTCATGACTGAGGAACAGAGCTGGCACATAAATCTGTTAAGAGTACTGAGCCCAGGACAAAATGAAATGTATTAAAACAACTGTTGCTTCGCCAATTTAAATAAAATCAAACAAGACCGTTACTACCACAAACACGTCCACATTTCACTACTTTCCAGGAGGAGCCATGAGGGACGGTGAGCAAGGTCTGCAGCCACACTTTGTACTCACCCTGCGGCGGCGGTGGCGATCTGTCCGGGATGCTGCCCGTTTCCAGTATTATCCAAAGGTCTGAGCATTTCTGCATTTCCCAGCGAGTCACTGCATAACTTCCCACTGATGACGCCACTGAGAGAGAGAGAGAGAGAGAGAGAGATGACAGAGGTAAGCTGTTATGTGTGTCTCAACCTATTTAAAGCTGATGTTTCATTACCCACCTATTGAAATGAGTAGGTTCCATTGAAGAGGATAAGGAAGCTTCCTCTGGAGAACCTTCTGAAGAGCAAATAAACTCCCAGCGCCTGTAAAAAGCAACACAAGTAGCAGCCATGACAATACCTGTTGAGGTACGATATGTACACAGATCACTGTGTGACGTTCATCATGTTCATTGACTTCACTGCAATAGAAGCCAAACTGAGCTGTCATTTTCAGCTGGCATGTCGTGTATTTTCCATAAATGGATTACAAATGAGGCATATGAAGGTTATATTGTTTTATAACTATTATAATAATACAACCGTCATCACTGTGTGTTGAGTTTAGTGTGCACCATGAAGGGAAAATATCCTGCTTTATTGATACTAGAAACATTTGCAGAATATAGCTCCATCCTGTGGTATACACTGGTCATGACGTTTTTTGTCAAGTTGTGTTGGACTTCTTACTTGGTGCTTATCTACAGTCTTGTATGAATTTAGCTGTACAATGTATAATAGATGTAATAGATCTGCTAGTGATTGGTATTAGTGTTGTGATTTAAGTGTAAAAATACGGGTAATCCAACATGGTGTATTATTTTTTTAAATGTCTGATGGTTCAGTGATGATAACACAATAGAAATGACAATAGTGTATTTTCTAGTGTGGGAATTTACACATCTCTTACCAAGTATAAAGGTCCCTGTCCCCATCATGAAGGCGCGAGACTGACAGGCAGCATAACTCTGTAAACCCTGAAAGACACGAGGAAACAAACCACAACAGCTTTTACTTCACTGTATACATATTCCTATGCATTTCAATGAATTGACTGTCCGTGCCCTCCAGGGATCAGCAGGCTACAGTTGTGGAAGAAGAAACTAAATACTCACCGGATGTTTTGCTGCCAGCGCATCGTCCACTTTGGTGAGACCGATATTGACCATTTCGTTGTTGCAGTTGTACGCTGGAGGTTAAAGTATTAGATGGAGAGTAACATTAGCTCATGCCGCGACCGTGTTCATAACACTGTTATAGAACTTCCGTGTTGCAAACCAAGAAAATGCACACAGAGGGAGACGAACAGCTGTTTGTATAAACACTAGCGACGCCTGACGGAGAGGAGGTGGTACTGCAGCTCCTCGACAATGAAAACAAAGACATAAAATATTATAAATATCTCATTAAACAGAAAAAAAAACTATTTCATTTGATCAAAGAGTATAAATAGTTAAACAAATTTGCACAAAATAGACGACAATATATAATAAACTGTTACTAATTATTCGGACTAAAAATAAGGCTAAAGACTAAATATTAAGTTTGTTAAATAGCTCCGATCACGACCGAAGAAAGTAAAACACTACAGTAAAGGTAACTGTTGCGTTTAAAGCAAGACTCGTCTACTGTTTACTTCAACCAAAGAGGGATTTCTCTTCATAGCTCATTTTTAGAAGTCAATTAAAAAAATTTCACAAGAACAATCAAAGTTTAGGGGAAAAGAAGTGTTTGTGTTACAGAAACATGTTTTTCTGCTCTGGTATCCTGCCAACAATCCTCCTCCTTTGGGAGAGCCACTGGCCTTGACGATAAAAACTACTGTTTGTCTATTTAGATGGACAGAAATTAAATCCTGTCTGAAAATAATGTGCTGTTATAGTATATGTTATATACACCAAATCTACCAATTATCTATCATTATAGATTATTTCCCACACACGAGATTAATTTGGTGCTTCAATATTATCTTGCTCATCTTTGGTCACTAAATAAGGATATTTATTATTTGGTAACGATACTTGCTAATACATGTAAAACGTTACCTACAGCAGTATGACGTGCAAGGCCCAGTAAACAGCTGGTGCTTAAATAAGTCCTCATTCTCTCCTGTCTTTGTGTCTGTTACGCGCCATGTTTGACTTCAGGCCTGCCACAACAGCACATCCTGCTGACGGCCGCGACCCCTCTGTTGAACTTTGACACCGCGGTGACTTCAAGGGTTCTGCTGGAGGCTGGACGTGAGCGGGAGGAGGAAGAGGAGGCAGATGGAGAGAGACGAACTACTGCTGAGACACAAGTAACAACACAGAGGCTTAAGTTACCTACCAGACATCTGTTACTTGTTACACACGAGAAGGAATAGATGAGACTCCAGAGATACAAGTGATAAAGCCAAAGAGTTGATGAAGGGATTAGTATGTTTTAAAAGATATATATTTCAAACACAGGGTAAAAAGAACAACAAATTCACTACAAGTATTAAAGGCGGCTCAGTTAGCACCGTTGAAGCGCTGTGGGGTAAACACACAGCCGTCTGGTCCAGTCCACAAACCAGATGGTAAATCTGATTAAACAGGAGTCATATCAGTGTTCAAGTCTTTGAGAATAACATGGAACATGAAAATAACATTTGAGAAGCCTGAACCATCACGTTTTCTTGCTAAACAAGTTAAACGATTAATCTCTAATAAAATTGCTTGATTGTTGAACCAAGCGTTTCTGCAGTGAGCGACTTTGCTGAATCTTCAAAATATTTCTAACGTACTGCATGTGGAAGTCCAGGGTCAGGGGATGTATAATGAAAAATGTCTGGTGACAATCGACTTATTTAATTTAAGCATTTAAAAGCCATGTGAAAACATTGAATATATGGTTTATAACACTATAATGTAGTTGTAGGCAGATAGAAGTTTGTAAATGTGTTGGTTAACAACCTCTTGTGTGGACAGTTTAAGGATTCCACAAGCTGACTCCAACATATGAGGTTCATTTTATTTATTATCATTTTTACATTGGAAAAGCAACAGTCAGTTATCCCCCCCGAACTGTACTTCCATTCACATATTGTAGCTCTTTATTTCTAGGTGATTAATGTTTATATTCTTACAAAACAAAAAGATGTCAGACATGATCTGTACACTCCAAATCATCCAAATCACCCCCCTCCCTTCAACCCATCTAAGACAAATACAGATAACACGGGGAGCCAAATCTTTAGTGCAGTGTTGAAAACCTGTTCGCGCACACATACAAAAAAAAAAATCAACAAGTCGCATGTATAACTGAATTACATGCTGTGTCTGGACTCCTCACCTAAGATGCAAGAGGACACATTAAGCAGGTGTGCGTTGTAGGTGTAATACAAGGAAGGCAGGCAATTGAGGATAAAAGGTGACTCAGAACAAGTTAATAAAACCACTCTTCAAATAAAATCTACCAATAAGGTGTGTAGAGGGGGGGTTCAAGTTTTACACTCCAAGACATCTCTCGCATGGAAGATTTTTAGTGACAATGATGGTGTGCAGTATTTTCATGGAAAGCTGGAACACGGACTCGTTCATTGAGGATCAAGAAGAAAAACGGAACAAGTAACGGGGTCGAAGTGTTCCGTTCTCCTCCCTGCCCCCCAAAAAAGACATAAAAAGGTCCCATATTGTCCACTTTGTTATTTTTAGAACATTTGCCTTCAAATATCACCAGGACAAAAAAAAAGTTTCACAATCAAATGTTTTAAATAAATATAGCTCCATTGATAGAATTAAAAGAGAAAGGAAAAAAAAATAACCCTTAGAGCAAAACTCTCAGGCAAGAAACTGAGCACTACCCCCACCCACCACCCCCCCCCCCCGCCCCCCCCCCCCCCCCCCCCTCCCTGACACACACGCATACCGTAACCCTGCAGGTGCAAAAAATACAGTTGAAAAGACAGGTGTCTGTTAAACAGCAAACTAAGACTGGAGGGATTTAAACCAGTTGATTACAGGAGTGCCAAAACTACAGGTCATAGTACTTTGGTAGAGATAATCATCAGACAAGATACTCTGTCTTGAGAACATGAAATATTGAGATCACAAGGAAGCAGCTTCTTATACCGTGACCAACATAACAAGCTTTGTTTGAGAGATCACGACAAAGTACTGGTATCACCAGGAACAGCTTTTTAAATAGCAGGATTGTTTAAAAAGTGGCGACTAAAACGTTGTACCTTGTCTCAAACATCAGTCCGATCAAATTGGTAGAAAAATAAATTAACTCGGTCAAGAAGATGTCTAGGAAAAAAATGTTAGCCTTTTATTTGGCAGCTACTTTATTATAGAACAGTGAACATATTTAACCCATCAATTTACGACTAAATATGAAATTTAAAACGGTGTAATATGGCCCCTTTAAGAAGAGAAAAGACATACATTAACCCGGCCCGTAACCCATGTAGACCATTTCAATGTCCTTCAGTACATAATGGCAGCACACACACGCACACGCACGCATACATACATACAAGCATACACACACCCACACTCAATACTGGTAGTGTGATTCAATCAGTGAAATCAATTTTGATGTGTGTCGTGATTGGCTGTGCGGGGGAGTACGACAGGAAAGGGGAGGCGGCTAAGGTGTCGATGACCATGAAGACAGCGGCCGTGTGCAGAGAGGTCAGAGAGGGAGCGATACAGTGAAAAGGTCCGTGTCCCGTCGTACCAGTTGAACGACAAGGTACTGCAGCCCCCCCCGGGGTCCCCCGTATGCACAAACGTCACCACACCCAGCGGGTGGGTGGAAGAACTAAAGTGGATGACGACAACCGTCTATATCGTGGTCCAAAGAAGCTCGTCCAGTTCCGTCAACAAGACAACTTTTTTTTCCCCTCGCATATAAAACCATAGCAGCAGGTCGATCTCGAGGGTCTCCGCACCTCGAGAAAAATGACAAAAATAATAATAATACCGTTCCCCGTCATCCAGCAAGCAAGCTATGGAGAGTTACCAGTTCTGGAAAGTGGCAGATGTCTTTTTGCTTTATCCTCTTTCCCCTCCATCTTCTTACCGCCTGAATCCGTCCAACAATCAAGCAACCAACATTGTCCTCCGTCGTTAGTCTCTTGTCAGCGATCCCCCTCCCGCTTCTCTCCCATAAGTCCAACCCTATCTCTCCCCCCCCCCCCCCTCCTCCCCTCCCAGGCGAGGATGAAAGCTGATCATCGTTCGGGCTCCGACTCGAGAGCCAGCACCCGCTTGCGCTCGCGACACTGCTTCTTGTGGGCGGGCCAGTCCCTCTGCTGGCACTGGGAGCCACAGTAGCGTGCCACTTGGCAGCGACCGCAGATGTTGAACTCCCGGAGCTGTTGAAAGACGAGGAGCAAGGATCAACGTCTGGTTGAGTTTACGAGGGGGAAAATGTTTATAACTATATCTTTAATCTTCCACAGTACATACCCTCCTCTCGATGAGTGAACAGGGAGGATAATGACACTCGTAGTAGGTGCAGGAGCACTCCTCCTCCTCCACCAGCTCCCCGTTAGCGTTGTAGTAGCGTGTGCGGCTCAGCTCCAGATACTGCTCCTCCACAGGGTCGGCCGGTACCTGCTGGATGGCCAGCCAGTACAGAGACTGCTCTCTGGACAAGTAAGGGAAGATGAATCAGCCCGGCTTTGCCTACACACAAAACATACAGCTCTTAGCTATACTCCTACCTCTGTTTGCTGGAGATCTCCTCCGGCTTAGGGCTCCAGCCCACTGGCACCAGTCGCAGGTTGTCTAGCCGGTTGTCCACTGTCACAGAGTTGATGTGGATGACTTGAAAACTGGGGGCAATGCCTCCTCTGTGCTTCTCCCTGTGCCAAGACATGCGTATCATAAGTCAAGCAGCCTCTCACCAGTTACAAAACAACTGATTACGCTGAGACCCACTCATGTAGATGTGTGAGCAAGACTGCTAGGCCTGCATGTTGGCCACTATATGCTCGCCTATGTCTTGAGCCCAGATGCTGCTTATTCCACACCCGATACAATTATCAAAGTACTTACCAGAGCAGCTCGTGCAAAGGCCTTCCTGCCCAGCGGCCTTTGCCGATGTCGAAAGCGTAGGCGAAGATCTTCGCTCCATTGCCATCCGCATCTACCTCCATGCGCGCCTGGAAGTGACATAATGTAATATTTTAACAAAAAGGCACCGTCAGAAAAGTGGCATCAGCAATACTTCTCACAAACACAAAGTTGCAGTTCTTCGTTGTTTACCTCAAATGCATAGTTTTCCACAAGCGGTATGTCCTGCTCATCAATCAGTGTGTATTTTGTCTGAAATGAGAGAATACTTTAATGTCAACGACACATACAGGAGCAGCATTCACAACCAGTAAACTATTGGACTTCAATCTGTGATCCTTTAAAGAATCATTTGATAACTTGTGTATCGCAGAACCACTTCCTGTTATTCAGCTATCAAGAACTGAGTTAAGTTACAAGACAGCATGGCAATGTAGTTATTAACCGTGTCCAACCTGAGGAATGAATCGGTCCCAAATGGGGCTCGAGTGTATATTTAACTGCTTTGAATGGACTTGCAACGTAAAACATTTCTTCATAAAAGTGGCTTGTTTGCAGAAGACAACATTCACAAATAATAAGCACTTCATGCTGAGTTTTCCCTGCACGTGACAGCTGCAGCAGACAAACATCATCGAGGGGGAAATCATCTTAACGTGTTTTGAACGAACCAAACTTTCATCGAAAGTTTCATCTCGAAACTCTTTGTTTGTAGATCTTTCAAATGCACGTGACAAGATAGCAACACAAGTAGCTCCACGCTGCACTGCGCGTGGCACACAACAGCACAGGGTGGTGTGGTCCACATACCTGAAAGTTCGTAACATGCAATGTGACTTTGTCTCGACTGCCAGCCTATTGTGTAGATCTCAACTGGGTGTGACATGTAAATAACAAGGAGCACTGCCACCCAGCAGGTGGGCAAACCAATGTGTCTGCACTGTCTATCCTGAGTGAGAGTGTCTTGTGACACGAGCTTCTTCTTCAACGTTAGTGTAACTTAAGCTATAAAAAAAAAGACTGTTTTTGGGCTACAGATGTGGAGTAGTGTGCTGTCCAGCCGGTGCTTTGTCACGTTGCACAAAAGAATCAGTTGGTGCATGGCAATGGCTTCCTCATTAGCAGACACTTCCACCGTGTAATCTAAATAACACAGCTAGCGCTGCACTGTTAGCTGTACCACCGACCGTGAGAACGAGAGGACCTAACCGTGGAAAAGAAAGATATTTGTCTTCTCCGTTTCAACGCAACACTGGTAACGACACCAAGGACCCGTGTGTTTACTTTTGTGGCTCTATTCCGCCGTTTAACGTAACGGCTAACGTGACCCGCTACGTGCTAGTTAGCGTTAGCTTCATAGCGAGACTGTGAACCAGTCTGGCTCGGCCGGCTTCTCTAATCCGTTCAAATGCAGTTAAAATCGGCCAACTCCCGCATCGGCTGACCGGTTGATAACCATAACAGCTGTTGACTAGCACCGACTCGACACCGCAACCATTTTCCATCGCCTTTTTGTGGTCCCTCGCGGGCCCTCCCCCGGCCGCACATGGCAGCGGTCCTGGGATCCTGCTCACCTTCCCGGCCACACGGCCGAGCCGCACGATCCCAAGCTTGAAATCCGACATCGGGAAGGACGAGGTGGTGGTGGTGACAGAGAGAGGGATCCAACCTGAGCTGTAGTCAGCCCCTCAGCACCCACTGCGATGCCAGTTTGGGGTTTGTTCTCCCTGTGACTCCGAGTCTCTCCGGCAGCACCTCGGTGACACACACCGCTGCTGGTGCAGGAAAGCCGAGCTGTCTGACTCTGCTGGGGGGTGCGAGGCGGGACGAGCCGCTAATCACGCCATCCAATCAAACGTGACGTTAAGGGTTTTCACTAACGCGACGCGTCCTATCGTGTCGTCAAATAGAAAACGACTATTTGTTCAACGACCGCCTGTTTCTGTTATTACGTCATTAAACTCTCGTGACCACTTCCAGACATTTTCCCGCGAAATGTTTGATAGCAATGCTTTCACTAAGGATGTATGAAGAGTGCTGAGTACTGCTGGATTTACCTTCTAAATTAAAATTATTGTATATATTGTGCATTTTTATAATATTTAATATATTTTACTCTGTTATTTATATTATATATAATGTGCATTTTATACTCAATATTTTTAGTCTGTTACTTTGATTGCTTACCTGTATCATAATGCTGCTGTAGCGAACAAATCTCCCCTTGCAGGATTAATAGTGTGTCTGTCTGTCTGTCCGTCTCTCCATCTATCCACGTATCTATAGCCAACTCTGATGCTCAAATGGCAGCACACGGGAGGATGTATCCAATTGCATTCATCACTGTAAGTAAAATTCAGGACGTGATTCAGTGAGCACACAAGCTATACTCCTACTCATGCTTTGCTCTTTCCCAGCACATCTGTCCGGTGATAAAGCATGACTTTCAGTTCAGTGTGTGAGCACCCTCTGGAGATCAGGATCTGTATTACAGAGACTTAGACATTCGTAAAAGTGTAAATTTAGATGAAGAGTTTTAAAAGAACATTTTAAAATTTGATAGAAAAAAATGTCTGCGATGATTTTTATTTGTGACATAAATGATCAGTTTTTGTTATATTTCCCGAGTTTCTATTGAAATAATTAGTTTCCAGTAATTCTTCATGTTATGAATGTGTTGTTGCTGTCAGGTGAAATGCTTTATCTTTATCTATTTTCAGTTTTCTGACTTTTTAGAAACGCATGGTTTTCATTTAACACAACAATAATATTTTGATTCATTGGTAAGGTTTCAAAACAAATCTCTCAATCGTATATCAGAACCAGTGATGTCCCAACACTCATTAACTTAATGAATTTAAGTGATTTGAAACAGTAAAGTGTTGATTGAGTGTCAGTAAAAAGCAGTCATTTATTTCGTCCACAACAAACTTGGCGCACAGGAATCCCTTGTTTGTTTCATGATGTAAACACATCTTGGGCTTCCTACTTTTTGCCATGACAAAGCAGCTTTTTGTGTCGGAAACAATGGCAGCCCTGTGCCTCTGCTGTTCCCCTTTTACAAAGTGCAATGTGTAGAACACCACCTTGTCTTAGCCAGAAGGCACTATTCAGTTCCTCACAGACATGGAGCTATGGGAGGAGTGGGATGTGTGCTTCGTTCCTTGTGGAGGTTTGAATTTCTTGAGATTTGATCTCTGTCCGTCCAAACATATGTGCAGCTTTAACAAAAAGTCTTTAATTTAAGATCAGTTTAAAACCGATTTAAACCTCTTGTCCTACTCTTCAAGAATATTAAGAACAGAAAACTTGTATTGTTGGCATCCACCGGTGAAAGATAAGGACATGGGTAGAAAAGGTACTACTAAATTCTAAAATTAAAACAATATGTTGCACCGTGGTGTTGATTTTAAAATGAATAATCATTGGGATGCTGGTTGCAACCAAAGCCAACTGACTGCACAGCCATTTCAAATGAGGGAAGACCATCTGGGGTTATTTTCTCTGGATTCAACAGCTTTTCCAGACAGTGGGTGGTGCTCACTGGATTGCTAAACGGAGCCGTCTCTGAGGTGTGTCTGCACCACTGATCCCTACACGTGTGATGACATGGTATCTATCACACCTATATCCACCCTGGAAAATTTGATTGTTCTTCCACAGTGTTCTCACAATGGTATCTAGTAAACATTAGGACATTTGCAAATGACAATACGAGGATAGTTTTTGAACAGCATAAAATGCCAAAAATGGTCCAAAAAATAATCGGCAGTATAAGAAAAATGAATTAAGAGAAATAGTGCTTTTAATAATATTGTTTGATGACATGTTTATCAACTCTCAGTAGAATTGTATTATCTATGTCTCTGTAATTGTTGTGCACATGACAATAAAGAATTTGAAATTTGAAACATAAGATTTTGTCTTGCCCATGTCCTTAAATAAAGTGTATTCTAAAGATCATGCAGGAATTCAGGTTCAAATCCTGTGATTTTAATTTTGATATTTAGATAAGCAGCTCTTTAAATGAAAATTGGTTTACATTAAAAAATGTAAGCATTGAAGACAGGCTACCTTTTGTAATGTAAGCGTATACTCCACGTTTTCCATGTAACATTTTGCAAATATGTGCATATAGTAAAAACTACCACTTCCCACTGAAATAGTTAAATACTTAAAGTGGCAATCTTGAAGATTTTCATTGAATCAATTAAATCACTAACTATGGTTCACTGATGAAAGTATTGTTGTATAACGGTTGTTCTCCATTGTACACACACACAAACATGTAACTGCTCCCAAAATGTGAAAACTTGAATCTGATGTGGTTGGTCTTCACTTTGGATCACAGCTGCACATTTGAGAAGTTTTAGGGCCATAAAGACAAATACGGGAAAATCAACATGAAATTAAGGCAAGCTAAAAAAGAAGAAGAAGAAGAACATTGTAATATGCACATTGATATTCATCTTTATTTTACATCATATTCTAACAACTCAAAAGACAAAACGGAAACCTTTTTTCCCCCTCTCAGCTCTGACCTCTGGTGTCCGTGTTACTTCCGTGTTCAGCTCACCTGTTACACCTGTATTACAGCGCTGTAGGCGACCGAAGGTGCGACTCCAGTTCTGCCGGTGCACCTGTTGCGTTATTGTGCCATGACCGAGGAGCTCGTAACGTGCGACTTAACATGCCCATCTTCACCGACTGGCTCGGAGAAGACTTCGGGTCGCTTAAAAACTGAGGAGATGGATTTCGAGCAGCCTATTTTCTCCGTGTTGAGCGGCGCTGAGAAACGGCAGGAGCAGGAGGCGGACACCGCGGAGGCGACCTCACCGGCTGGGACCACCGCCGACTCCGAGTCCGGGATCTTCTCTGGTGAATATGAGGTGTGTGTGGAGCATGAAGCTGAGCTCGACTGGTTCTGTGGCACCGAGCAGAAACTCATCTGCTCTCACTGCGCCATCGTGGGTCCCTGCCACGGACACACTGTGACCCCTCTGGCCACCAGAGTAACCGCAGTCAGGGTGAGTGTAGGCCTCCTATAGCTTACTATACGCTTACTATATTTTAATGCAACACCTGTTTATTTCTTGTCTAATGTATTGGCTGAGCTGTGGTAAGATAAAGCTCTGGAGATGTACAAGGCAAATATGTTTTCTTTACTGAGGATACATGCGGGGTTACAGGTTACTTTCATTTTGTGTGAATGCCTTGTAACGTGTTTATTTTCCCTGTTCTCAACCGTTTGACAGGTTTTTACTCATGTTACCTCACCGTAAAGCTAAATCCTTCTTCTTCTCATTTAAGTTTCTTTTATGAGAGAAAATGTAGATTTTTCCTATTTCAATCATTCACATTGTTTAGGATTGTAGCTGTTATAAAGCAATGAGGACTGACTGATAAAGTGTGAAAAACTGTGTTCACATATTTAATTAACAGCGTAATATGCTTATTTCATAGTTCTTTCTTGGGTGTGCCACATTTTGTATGTTGTCTTTCTTGCGGATTGCTCTGCATGGTATTTGTAAAGACAGGATTTTCTTGTTGTGTGTGTGTGTGTGTGTGTGTGTGTGTGTGTGTGTGTGTGTGTGTGTGTGTGTTTCACCAGAACCAACTGGTGGATGTGTGTGAAAAAATGCAGCTGCAGGCACAGAGGATTGAGAGGTTTATCGACCAGACGCTGACAGCCAAAGAGCAAAAGCTTCAGGTGAGAAATACCACTGATCCCCTCACACTAATGATCACAGAGACACACAAAGCCCCACTAATACTGGTACACATTGCTCAGTGAAGCCTACACTGTTTCACAAGTACATTGTTTTGAGTACATGTGAGTACATGTGCTTTACGGACATGTGTTGGGAAACTGACGCCTACAATAAGTCTCTTTGCATTAGATCTGCAACTAAGGATTATTTTAATTGTCAATTCGTCTGTTAGCTATTTCTTCAAGTATCCGATTTATTGTTAAGAACATAGCAAAAAATAACACCCCAGCTCTTCTTAAAATTGTTTGTTTGGTTTGAACAGCTGTTCCGAAACCCAAAGACATTCAGTTTACTTTATAATGATATAAAACTGAGAAAAGCTGTAAAGCTGCCCCTTTGAGAAGCTGGAACCAGGTTCGCTTTTTGGCTGATAAAGAATGAAATAGATTCTTGGACTAATTGTCTCACCACTTCATTGCATGAAACCATTATTGTCACATCAACATGGAGAGGAAATTGTTAAAGAAATCATATAGTGAGAAAGCTCCACTTCACATAGGCTGTTCATTGAAAATGCATGTGCTTTTACATTCATGTTCATTCACATGTTTTAATATGTTAAATCATAAAAAACACAACATAGCATGAAATATCAGTATAAGTTTCCTAAATCTAAATTCTTTTGAATATCAGGGGGTTGCAATTGTGTCTTTTGCACAATTCCCTTGTCTAACAATAATAACAGTGATTTTTAGATCTTATTATTCCGAACAAGTACAATTTAGCAGTTGTACATGCATGAGTAAGATAAATAAAAATGGTTAACTAGTCATATATAACTTGCTGATTCAGTCAATTTCTTACCACCGGGCAAGAAAGGAAAGGTTGCCTCTTTCAGTGCACCCTTAGCCTATTTATTAACCTGCCTGAACACAATGGGTGTCTAAAGGGGTCAGATCTACAGACATGCGTGTGTAATATTCTAGGTTACAAGTTAGCACCAGTAAATCCAACGTCAAGCAAACAGCAGGTAAAACAAACACGGTGACACCTTATCTGAGCAAGAATGAAATGACCAAACCGATACGTGTCAACCTAAAACAAACGTACTCCACACTGTGAAAAAACTGCTTTGGGTTAAAAATGTGTTCAGTGAATCTCTGTAGCTATTGGTGTGTTTGTTTATTGTTTATGGCTAGACGTGGGAAGTCAATTGTGTGAAACTCATTAACAACCTCTGGGCTTTTATGGGCGACCCCCGTCAAGTGTCTGGCAGCTTGAGAGCAATAGAAACCTGGGCAGTGACACTGTTTGACCCACGTTTCCTTAATGTTTGATGAGATACTTTGCTTAAAATCTTAAAACTTCCCGACTAGACCTCTTGCTTACTGTAAACTTGCAATAACTGGTATAACAAGTTGTGAACACAGCACTTTGTTCACCGGTCTCTGTTCACTGTGTCTGCTGTTTGGTGCTGAGCAGATCACAGTGGGTTTTTGGAGCTTTTTTTTCACTGGCCCGTAAACAACGCTAGTAGAGCGATGAGAGTGAACCAAAGCGGTAAAGTTGTGGACCAGAAAGCTAAACGATGAGCTGAGACTCACTATAAAGCTCTGTGAAACCGATGGGAGCTGCAGGTTCACATGATAATTGCCTCGTTGTAACTTGCTTCATTGTTAAAATAAAAAATCAGTTTTGGCTTCTTAAATATCAGGATTTCTCTGTGTTTCTATGTCATGGTAAATTGAATATCCATTGGTTGTGGCTTAATGTTTTTCATCTAATCCTAATTTAATCTAATCCTCATTTTGTAGATTAAACGGTTCGTTAAAAAAAATGTTTTTTTGCAAGGTTCAAAGCATATCTGATCATAAACTATGAGGGTATTTATACATTTGGAAACATAACAACAACAAAGTATATGGGCTTTAGAAACTTACAAATCACCTTTTGACTACAGTCATATTGATACAGTAGTGATTATGCAATTCGATTCAACACCATGTAATTTCTCCCTTGTACCACAAGTTGTCTTAATCTTTCTTCTTCTCCCTTTGGCGTAGGTAGTGGCGAGCAAGGCGAGGGAGCAGATCTTGGCTCAGGTCAGCGCAGCACGTGAGGCCCTGGAGGAGGAGGAGCAGCGTCTCCTGGAGAAGGTGCAGAGAGAGGAGGAGCGAGTGGAGCAGTGTCTCCTCACCCAGAGGGCCCACTGGAGCCAGGCTTTGTCGAGGCTGACGCAAACGCGCTCCAGCCTGGTGCACACGCTGACACACACTCCAGACGCACAGCTGGTGGTGAGAGATGGGACCTTTTGGGGAAGATTTTTGAACAATAGAGGAACTTGTGCTTGAAATCCAGTAACCTGATAATGAACATAAATTGCCCAAAAGACTCATCACTTTCTTCCTGTCTTTCAGACTAGTGTCCAGGAGATAGCTGACAGGTAATCTTTCAAACATGACATTCATTTTTTCTTGTTTAAGATACCAGAGAGGTAACATCTCTTCTTCTCTCGCTGTTTGTGTGTGTTTGCGTCAGGGTGGAGGAGGCCGACGGGGTCGGGGAGCCATGTGACACAGACCAGCTCAACCTGAACCCAGACTGCAGTGACAGCAAGCTGCTGAGAGCTCTGTGGGCCACTGCAGTGCTGCTGGGGCCAAGCGGTTAGTCGATTTGTATTCAATCAACGTGACAGATCATACAGGGTTATTACATGCATCTATCCCGGTAATTAGTATACTTGCAAAACTGGAAGATCCAGAAAGAAATAGTATCTATGCTCCAAACAGAAACACGCTGAGAAACTGTACAAGTGAACATGACAAAAGTGAGTAAAAAGTAAAAATACATTTCCCACTACACTGCATACAAGTATAAAGCCCCTCAAAATTGTAAATGTAAATGTGCTTACTTCAGTGACTATTTACCGCTGCATCAATTGCTTTCTTTAAAACTTTCATATCTTTATATCATAAATAATGTTTGCATTGGAGAAAAGTGTGCAGATCTTTGACTTTATTTGGTTTTCTGTATTTTTGCACACAGAACCTTCTTGACTTGTAGTAGTGTGCAGTAGTTTTGGAAATATATTGCACATATTGGTAATATACACATTTATCTACATAGACTATGTTTTGTCCTGATGTATTTTGCTCCCTGGTTGGAAATAGCAGGTTTGTAAAAAAGCCTGGATGTTTTTTGTGTTATCGAGCAGGAGTTTAAACTAATCTAAACATGGGAGAACATTTAGAGAAAGTCAAGGGTTGTTCATGTAAATCTTGAAGGTGGACATGCGTGATACTGTAATTAGGGTGGCCGGATGTTACCAGCTCAGTGGCCAACCCTCATTTTTGACATCCTTGTGTGTGTGACGAAGAGCAAGCTGTGCCATTACAGTAAAAAAAAAAAAAAAAAAAAAGGATTTAATCAAAGTAAAGAATTCTCAAGCTTCCTCAAAACATGTCTGCTTATAGTAATGAATCAGTTTATGACATTCAATCCATCTTTTTCTTCTTCCCACAGCTTATGGACCATCATCAAAGTTTGATGAGCGCACAGTGAGCCCTCTCCTGTCCCTCTCTGACGACTTATACACTTTGACCTTTCACAAAAAAGCTCGCCAACTGCAGCTGTACGACCCAGCACGCTTCGACTGTTGGCCCAACGCTCTGGGTTCACTGTCCATGTCCTCTGGCACCCACAGCTGGGTGGTGGATGTGGGTCAGAGTGGTGCCTTTAAGGTGGGGGTCTGCTACACCTCTCTGGAGCGCAAAGGCTCTGGAAACGAGGCCCGACTGGGCCACAACAGTCAGTCTTGGGTGCTGTCTCACTACGACGGGGACTACTCCTTCTGCCACGCGGGGAAGAAGGAGCCCCTGCAGGTGGCGAGGAAACCCCAGAGGATCGGCCTGCTGCTGGACTGGCCGAGTCAGACGCTGTTGTTTTATGAGGCGGACTCCAGCACCGTGCTGCACACTGTCACACATCACTTCAGCGCCGCGCTGCTGCCGGCGTTTGCCGTGACGGACCGCAGTATCACCATACTGCATTGACACAAAGCACACTTAATGAAAAAACACTAAATGACCTAAACATGTGAAGAAATGCCTTTCTCTAATGTAAATATGATCAGCAGCTAAAGATCCTCCATATGCAGTTATGAAAGGCGTCAATTTCTATTTATTTTATTAGTAGCTGCTGATTCTCTCTCTCTTTTTTTACCATTTTAATGATTCAATAGATTTTGATTTAGAGATAATGAGATAATTTAACTTTCTGTTGATCATATTATACAGCGGTGCTGTAACAACATTTTGTTTGACTGACGATGGTTGTATTTTTAAAATCTTTTTAATAGCATCAGTTTGATCTGTGAAGAAGACTCTCTATGGAAAATATTAATAACACTGGTTGATCCAGGAATGTTGTGTGACAAAGAAACTCACTCCAGAAATACTTGAGATCATGTTGTATGAATGTTATATGCTCAGTTAACCAATTATTACAATTTGGCTGTTATAATTTCTGACTCTGCAGTAGACTTTTCATAAATAGACTTAAACAAGGTATGATTTTGTAATTTCTGTTGCATTAGTATATGATCAGAGCTGAAAATCCCTGTTTGTCCTTTCATGCCTCAGCGGGGTTATGTTTTGTTAGCATTTGAGAACATACTACAACTAAGTACAATAAGTAATACATTAGATAAGATAATATATGTTAACAGAACTCAAAAACACTTAACATCGTGTTGTGTTAAACTCAGTAGTGTATAGGATCTGAGAACACACTGAAAGTCCTGCAATGAAAATGTTTCTTAAGTTAAAGTAAGTTGAATCAGGAAAATGTACTAAAAGTATTATAGTAGCACAAAATGGCCACCATGTGACCGTTACTATTCTATATGATGTCATTAGATTATTATCATGCATTAATGTGTAAGCAGCGTTTTACTGTTGTAGTACGTTGAGGTGGGGCTCATTTTTAACTACTTTATATAAGGCTGTGTAGGAGCCATTTTTGTTTGTTTTATTAAATAACTACAAGGCGTCGCAGTTTGAGTTTCAAATGACGCAATCACTGCGCGTCCATCAAACACTACAGGTGTGTCGTGAGGTGTCTACCGCTCGTATCGAGCTGTATGACAAGAAAGGATCATGTTTATTTAGCTAGATGTTTTCATGTTGAACTAAGGCCTACGTTTTCAATACTTTGATGCATGCACCGAACTATCTTCAATCAACCAACTCACCAAGTAAGTGATGCATTGCTTATATACAGCATGTTGGATATTACTGAAGCGCGTTGGAATCAAGTCAGTCCCTCTATTGAGCTACAAGACTGAAAGCCATGACAGGCTGCAACTAATGATTATTTTAGATTTATCTACTGAACATATTACCGATCGATCGTTTGGGTTGTAAAATTTCATTAATAAGTGAGAAATTGCGTCACAATTATCCAGACCCAAAATGACATCGTCACCGTGCTGTCCAAACCTCAAATTCATTTAAAAAATAAATAGAAATAATTAAACAGAAAAGAAGCAAATCTTCACTTTTTAGAAACTAGAATAATTACATGTTTGGCATGTTTGCGTTAAATTGTTGCACTTAATGATAGTGTGACAATCATCGTTTCATACGTGTACATTTTCTTATGTTTTTTTTTTGTACAAACATCTTTATTATAAAGTAACTAAAGCTGTTAAATAATTGTAATGGAGTAAAAGTACAATATTTCCCTCTGTAAGTAAACAGTAGAAGCATAAAGTAAAATGGACATGCTTTTTCCTGAAGTACAGTGAGTACATGCACCTAGTTCCATTCCACCACTGGGAAACCTTTATAAGACAGTTACTGTTTCTTCTTTCCATTAGAAGCGTCATTGGAAAAAACAACTGTTTTAAACTTTGAAATTAAAAATCCACAAAACCAGTATTCTTTTGTAAGTCCAAAGTCCGACAGAGACAATTTGGAAATCAATGTCATAACGTGAAGCAGAGCAGATCTGAACGCCTCTGCTACTTCCCAGAAGTTTGGCAGAAACCCACTGGAGGGCAGTAATGTCAAATTAACCCTTCACCCCCAAACATCAACAATGTGCTGCTCCCGCTGGGCTCATGATGACGATGCTTTCTCAGATCAGGAACTGTTTCTCCAGGACTGCGGACAGATTCAGGTGCTGAATACAATCAGACAAGAACACAGAAAACTGAGCACATACATGGTACCTGTTGAATGAATGTTTGTGGGTTTAGACATTGCAAAAGAGAATTGGCATTTAGCTTTAACATCCAATACACGTATGTTTAGGAAGTATGAGAGCAACAAGAGTGCAGACCCATCACACCCTGGACACAAGCTGTTCCAACTCCTCCCCTCTGGGAGGCGCTACAGGGCACTGTACGCCAAAACCACCAGACACAGGAACAGCTGCTTTCCGCTGCCCGTCACTCTGATGAACAATTAATCAGACATACTACACTCTGTTTGCACTATTACCACAACTTGCACTCACCTCAATTCCATTGTCATCTGAATCTAGTGTGTTTAGATTCTGAAACTCTGATGTGCCAAAAGGGTAATATGCAATGAGACAAGACTGAGGGAAAGGGAAACTATGCATGCTCAAGTAGTGACCTCAGTGACTCATTACAGTGGTATTTTAAATCCAAATAAGGTATTGTTTATAGCCCTGATGGTCATGTCTAAGAATAATGTCATGTTAGTTTTAGGAGAAAAATGATTTGAATAGTTTCTGGCTGGGGGAAGTTGGGGATATCCAGGAATGTAGCAACTCCAGATCTTTTTTGCTAAATGTGGAACATTGCAATTTGAATCTTGTGTGTTTTAGGCTTAGTTATCGCCTCTTTTTAGGGCTCGCTGAATCATATCATTTGCAGGTTAGCAGGCCAAAATGAAGAAATAAATTTGTGGGACAACAATAAAGATGGAGTGTTTTTTTAACACACAAAAAAAAAAAGGTCCTCTATGAGAACGCTTTTAACTAGAACAAAATTACGCGGTGTTTTCCACCTGGTTGATCTCATACACTTGCCGAGCAGTACACACACTGACTTCCTGCCAACGTCACTATTACTGTAAAGGAAAATATGACTGAGTATGTGATAAGATAACAGACGCAGCTGCACTGAGTGTTTTTTTTAAGCTAACATCTGCTCTTTTCTCAACCATAAATGTTAGTACTGCTGTATGTGCACATGTTAATTGTCAATAATTTGACAGCAGTTTTAAATTAGAAAAATGGTACAACACCAATTTAACTTGCCAAATATTGGCATCAAACAAAATGTAATATTGGATCAATACCAATATTACTTTTTAAAGCTCACACCAGTGTGTGTATGTATGTATGTATGTATATATATATATATATATATAGTTATTTAATAACAGACATAATGCATTTATTAAATTGATACATTCTTGATACAAATACACACTTTCTCAACAACTGGTAGCGACTGAACATGACCTGTTGAACCAAACATGAGATCATCTGAAATTACTTAACTCCAAATGATTCACATTTCCAAGTTAAAGATGACACACCTAAGTTTGGAAATTGTAAAATTTCCTCGTTCCTCGGATGTTTCTACGGTTGGTAGCAGTGAGGATGACGGGAGGTGGCTCTATGTTGAGCTCTTTTCGGAGGTCTTCGATGCTTTGCGCCCATCGTCTCTCGAAGAAGATGCTGAGGACGCAGCGGGACCGATGGCCGTTCTGCAGAGCCCAAGGACCCAAGGATGTGAACAGCGACTGTAAACGTCTAGAAGAAGGTGAAACGAGAGGAAAGGTTCAGCATGATGCAACAATGACGACACATTTTTACCTCTGATAAATGAGTTTCCCAAAAGCACAAGGAAGTTCAGTTATTGAATGAGGAAGAATTCATTTACCTTTACAGATAAAGGCATTTGTTCATCATTACAGTAACAATGATGTACAACACAGTGTTTCCTCTTATCCCTTTGTGACACTTCACACTAGAGCCAGACAAAAACCTAATGAATTTTTTATTTTTTATTATATTAAACTGAATATTTTTGGATTCTGGACTGTTGCTCAGAAAAACAAGACACCTGGACATTTCAATTCAGGCTTTGAGAGATTGACATCGTCATTCTCCACAAATTCTTATAAAACAATCTGTTAATCAAGTAAAATAATTAGCAAATTTTTCGCGAATGAAAATAATCGTTAGTTGCAGACTCTACCTCTATACTCCACACTGCTACAGAGCTTACTAAATGCCTCGTGGTCCATCAGCACCGTACTGCAGTTTAAACTCTGGTCAAAACACTGGTTATTGTACCTCGCGTTCAGCCGCAGAGGCCCCAACACAGCTCCAAGAGCACACATGGGAAGCCCAGTCTGAGCAGCTTCAAACCATTTCACTGCCACTTCACCTGAACGCAGCAACAAGGGGCAGAAAAAGACATATCCAGAGATGAGAGAAAACTGGAAGGAAGTTTGGTATGGTCAGCAAAAAAAAGCTAAACTATTTCTGTAAAATAAGTTTGAAAAGCAGGAAGTGAAAGACACAATTATTAAGTTCTTGTGAGAATTGCATTTTTCTGTAGCTCCAGGTGCACCCTTCAATTGGCTTCATCTGTCATGCACACGATAATTCTTGCTAAGACTATTTGTTGCGCTATTAAAAACTGCTTGGCTCTCAAGCTCCTTTATGGCTGAATGACTGAAAATGATTGGAGATACCACATTTGTGCCGGATAGTGATGGTCTGAAATGTCTTAATATTCTTAAATACCATTTTCAGTTTCATTTCGTGACGTAAACCAATACAAAACACATCTGGTCCTCTCATCATGTCAGGCCATCCTCCTGCTGACCGGGTCAGGTTGACACTCTTTGACACGTTGACATGTTCTGTTTATCTTTCAATCAAGCAACAAATTATAAGGATCCCGTGCGATTCTTCTTCAAACACTGACTCACCCAGCATGTTGGTGGGCATGCCCAGTAAAGTGTGCAGCAGGTCATGGACCTCTCTGTATCTCTGCATGACGTAAGCCAGCTCCTCGTCGTCCACAAACTTCACGTCCGCCCTCGAGTCGGGGGTCACAAGCTGACAGAACAGGAAAGTGAATGCATAAGTGAAGACGAAAAAGAAACCTAAAAAGGAGGGAATTCTGAGGAAAGGTGTTTTTCTTGATGTAATCTGTCTCACTCACATTTTCCTCTAGAAAACGAAGGTACTCTCTTCCAAAAGAGCCGTCAGGCAGTGAGGCCATCTCTTTCAGATCAAGTGTAGACAGCCGGATCCTGGGCCTTTCTCTGCAACAACCAGTCAGTAACAAGTAAGACATAATCCAATGTGATTCACGGTGGAGAAAACTCTGTTTAAAAGTGCCTAAATCAGAGAGTTGCTGTGCGGTGTTGCAGGGACTCACGTAAGGATTGTGTAGCCTTCGGGGTCGTTTCTCATCTTGTCCCTGATATTCATCAACGCCAGGCGTCCCGTCGTCTCCCCGAGCACTGCAACCATGTCTGTAGAGTTTCAGGCAATTATATGGTGTTAAATGTGCAAAGCCAAACCTACAATTGATTGCCCCAGAATAACGTACATTTTGACTTAAAGATCATAAAATATGTGATATTGATAATACACAGTTGAATAATATGCAGTTTTTGTCTTAAGTGAAGTGTGTAATATAGCTAAAATGTACTTGATTTAAGCTCCACTCCAGAAATGTTACACATAAGAATCTGTTTACTCATCAGTGGGAGTAGTAGTCAGCCTGTGAAAACAGCTGTTCATTGCCTTCTGTGGCTTTGAAGGAGATTTTTTAAGTCTGACAGAATGTCTGGCTGAAACTGTCAAGTCTGATGTCATCAGAATTATCTTGGTTTGTGTTTAGAGACAACAAACAGACAGCCTGCATTACAAATAGTGGGTATGGCATTTGAATGACCTGGCTGTTTTCCAGGCAGGAGGGGAAAATGCATTATAATAATGGAATGATCCAGCACTTTTTAAGGTTAACCGATACTGGTGACTGAAAGTCAGGTGTAGCCCTTTAAAGACACCTGCAGTCCCTAAATTAAATGTCACATGACAGGTGTTAGTGCTCTCTTCCTCCATGAAAGTTTCAGGGTAACTGCACTGACATATGGCCTAGCTTCGTATTTATTCTCATTTCTGTTTCCAAGACATTTTCAGAAGCGTGTACCAGTGGTCTCCTGAGAATAAAAGATGGAGAATGAGTAACTCTACTTAAACAGTACTCGAGAACCGAAACCTCAGTATAGTGCCCAACAGTCTGTTTCATTTGACTGAAAACTGTAAAATAAGATGAGACGCCCAAGTCTTCATCTTGTAATCTACTAATGAAGGCAAACACAATTGGAATTATACAGTCTAGTATTCAGTTACAATAGCTGTAGTAATCAATTTAACACAATTAATTATCAAAACCAATCACTTTACAGACTAAATAACAGAATAATTTATTCAGGTCTGAGCTTGATGGTTCATTCTCGACCTTGGAAAAAGCAGTTGGAGCGTATTCTTATCTCAAGGTTCACATACACACAGCTTTCAGTTAGTTTGTGGCATTCATCAGAGAACTCAATCTGCTAACAAGGCTATCAGAAAAGCACATAGCGAACTCTATGATAAGACTATTTAGTTTAGAAGCTATAGAAGAATGTGTTTTATCATTTCTGTGTTAGCGTGATGGACTTCATTATTTCCACTAGGCTGCAATGTATGAAAGATGATCCTAATCAGCCAAATTGATTGAGTTGTAATGACTTTATAAAGTTTGGAACATTAGGGGTTTTCTATTGCAGCTGAGCCATCTCCATATTTGACTAAACTGTTTTTCATATGTGACTGGGCTGTACCGCCTTACTTTACCGTTCATGGGAAGGCTTTTTATGTTGCTTTTTTAACCACTATCAGATGCTACATGGGAAGGCATTTTTAATCAAATCTAAAAATTTAAAAAAGAAGAAGAAATGAAGTCTCACCATGTCTGTAGGGGTCTTGTAGTGCAGCCACACCTGACCCAACGGCCAGCATGGCTTTCTGGAAGGGGGTGGTGTGGATATGTCCAGGATACAGCCCATCATAGCGGCTGTCTGCACACACACTGATGCTACTGTGCACCTGGTGGACACACACTGGGAAAAGACAAAGGTATAATGCACTAGTTGATATTGATATCACATATCCTGTGATCAAGACTGTGCTCATGTTTCAGATTAAGAGTGTTTATTGTTTGGGGGGAAATCTAACCTAAGTGTGAATGCATTTTTTATTTTTTTTTTATTCTCAGTTAACATTAATAGTTACAAGACAAGCAAAGTGACTACAATCGTAGCCCTTCATACTAAATTGTGTGTGTAGCCTCGTGTTTGTCTACTCTGGTAAATGATTTAACCAACTCGACATTCATGGATTTCTATGTTAAAACAGTTAACTTACATCTAGTTTCCAAGATATAGTTAAAAAGTAGTGGTAGCTTTTCGCTTCTATATAACGTAGAAACGCTTGGCTAGCTGTAGAAACTCATACCTTTGGAGATCAAAATGTAGTGTAGCCGATTTAAGCGACCTAGTACGGGCTGCAACATTTTGGACGCTAATGCGCATGCGTCATCTGGTACCGCACTGACTTTAAACTCCGGGGCAGCCCTGGTGAAGGGGCGGTGTCAGAATGCACTGATGCAGAGGTCTCCGCCAGCTGTCATGTATGAAAAGCAAGCGCACGTAGCAATGTAAACACCGCTAAAGGGTGAGCTGTCCTTCTAAATGCGATAGCGGACAAAACATTAGTTTCGTTTTCTGTCTGACGGCAGAGACGAGGTGAAGAAGCCGAGGGTAGCGAGATAAACCTGTGTTTCTGAGATTATTAATTATAATAATTATCTACTCCTTTGAGTAGATAATTCGCTAAAACCTATGGTAGTAGGCTGCTCAAACACCTAACTAGGCTAGCTAGCTAAAGTTGTGTAACTTAGCTAACGTCACTCATAAGAACCAATAAGTGAAGTGTAAGTTAGCGTTTAGCTACATCATTGTTGGTTTTAGCCAAAGACACGAATGCAAAAGGCAGCAACGTTACACATAAAGCGTTAAGTCCAAATGTAACTACTCACGAGATCATGTGTGATGGTGACATGGTGTGCGTAATTTATATAGTCCCTAGTGACTGTCACGTGGTTGTGGGTGTAACTGAGCTACAAATACAAGGTTGGGCTGTGTGCGATTACCACCTTAAAGGGGAGATTTTCTTAACTTGGTGAGTAGATATTCAACTTCGTTTTCTGTGCAGTGTCGCGAAGAGGTTTTACAGATTCACAGTTTCTGCAAGAACATGGCGAACAGGGAAGGGCGAGCTCTCAGGGAGACAGGCAGAGTAGAGGCTGTTTGTTCAGGCTTCACATAGCTGCTGCTAGCTGTAAAAAAAAACAACGAGGAGCAGTTGTTTGTGACACAAAAAGTAATGGTTGTTGAGACTGAAGGCGTTGTTTTGATAGAGAATGCAGCTATTGGTGTTATTTCTTTCAGCAAGTGTAACTTAAAGGCCAGATAGAGTCCAGTGTTCATAGTTTGCTTGTCATGTTACTTCACTTCTCGTGTCTGTCTTTTTCAGCCACAGTGTACAAAGAGTCTGGTCTTTCTGTTAGTCTCATGCTTGATTTTAGGGTTTCTACAGGCTTGATTTAATTATTGATTTCACTTTGGTTTGTATTTGGTATTATCTTAAAGTTTTAATGGATACATAAACTAAAGAAGAGCTTGGGTTTATTCATGCCCTTAATAAGGTTTGAATCATTGCTCACTTTGAGTTACACAATCATTTTAGCTTTCTGTTCCATTTGGACATGTTTGAACTCATGAAACTTGCGAATTACAAAACAGTTTTACTGCTACATGTTGCAATATTGACACATATCTTGTATTGGCTGTGGTGATCTGATATGCATTCAGAGAATGATGCCAGTAAAACGCCTGTGGCTTTCCAGTGATAAGCAGCATCAGTGTTTTTCTGAGAAGTAATCTATTGGGTGGAAGAAGACGAATGAATGCTTACAAATCAACATCCACTGTAACATAACCAATATTGCTTTTTCACCATGTAATGGAAGGGACTTAAGTTTAAAGTATTATTTTCTATGTTGACATATAAACTCACATTAACTTGGTTGAAACATGTCTTTCTTGCATTTAGGTCCTAGCAGCAGTATCTCTGTTTTGTCTTTAAGTCAGAGACAATAGGTCATCTGGTTTAGATGGCTCAATAGAAAAGTATAATTGTATGTCATCTGCATAGCTGTGTAGTTTTGATCCCAGAGACACTTATAATCTCACTTCCTTTCACATACTTTTTAGGAAATGTCCTGTGTCTGGGAAAGGGCTTGAATTAAAGTTTCCCCAGGATAAATAGTGTCGTTTGTAACCAAACAATGCTATGTTGTTTGGACATTTTAGCAAATATAGAAATATGAACAGGAAAACTTCCTGTTGTATAATTTTGTACAAACATTTGTGGCATTTTGACTCTCACAGAAGTTAAATTTCAGGGTGACTGAATTGTTCTGTTAAAACATGCGACGACTGAAGCAAATGATCAGGGCAAGACAACACTGCTCAAAGCTATCTGGCTTTGTACGGTAGAGTTCAAACCAGATCAACTACATATCATCATGCAACCTTAAAGCCAACCAATAATATTTCAAAGGTTGTATTTTCATGTTGTGGCATGCAAAGCTGCAGTCTGCTCATATTCTTTGAAGAGTATGACTATATGTTGTGCAGCACACTGTGCTTTGCATGCATGTCTGCATCTGTGTGTAGTACTTCATCCATTAGTCACTGTGACAGGCAAAAAACGCACAACTGTGGGTGTGTTGGGAAATGTCAATATATGGTGACATCTTCTGGTTTATGTGGAAACGACACCGCACTTATTTCCTTGCCCTTTATTTTTTAATGAAGAATGCTATACTACGAACAGATTAAACATTCATAGAGCACTGCAGGAAATTGCCTCAGCGGTACTTCCAGCTAAATCTGATTAACAATACTCTCATTGTTTTTGAGTAGGAAGCTGATGATCATTTCATTGTTCTATTGTTCTTACAGTTGATAAGGCTTATAATGCATCACTAGCCAAGCGCACTTCAACCCCCGTAGCAGCTCATACCTTTGTGACAGAGTGTGACAAAGAGCTGGAAAGTCCGGTTGCTCCTCCAATGTTTAGCCTTGCTCAATGCTGATTACTGTGGTCGTCCATAGTGCAACAGACAACAGAGTAGACATTTGAACCAGAACCACTTTCTGCCAGTAAAGGTCATACTTTGGTACCATAAAAGACTTGATGCAACAGTTCCTCGAAGCACTTAACATTACTAAGGCAACACGTTGTTTCATTGGTAGGAAAACTTGCAGACTCTTGAGACTTCACATCAGTTGAACACTTAAGAAAAGTGTAGTTGTTGGTAGTGCCAAAGGAAAGAATATTCCAATCATAAACATTTAAGATTTTACTTCACGTAAAGCACAGATATCATACAAGTAAAGGTTATTATTGGGACCACATGCATTATGTTGTGCTGCATATATTGTGGGCAGAGCATATAGTAACTACTAAATGGCTGCACAGGCACAATTATAAGCCTTGTGTTAAAACTCTGTGATGAAATCTTATCTTTTGTGTAGTAAATGGTGCACATGTTTCAAACCAAAAAGTGTTTGCAAAAATGTATCAAGTAGCGTTCATGACTCATAGCTGAACACAACTGTCCTCTAGCAACAGATTGGAAGCATTGAAATCGATGTCGTAACGAGACATCAACAGATTGAACGCGTGGTGGCGCTGTGACCAGCATCTCCTAGCTGTGTTGTGTAATGCTGAACTATTAAGTGACAATGTCTTATTTTGGTAAATCTCTGTTGCTGTCAGTGTTTTGTCTCTACGAAAACCACTGCTCTACATTCTCGAGCAACTCATCAAGCAAATCTGTCAACAGGATGTTTTCAGAACGATCTGTATCTCAACAACTCGAATGATTTTGCACGCATCTCATATCTGCATCATGGATACGGAATGCACTCTGGAAAGGGCAAGCCTTCAGACCATGGAGTGCAAAATGTTAGTTGCAGACAATTTCCACTGTAGCCTCAACGATTTTAACTTATTTTTTTGAATTTTATACAAAACTATGTGTTCTTTGCATATATTTTCTTATGCGCTTTCCATTAATTACAACATGCAAATGTCATTTGGCTTCGACATGTACACGGTTTCACAATGATGAATCAGCCTTACACTCTCATTGTACCATTGGGGTGCTGCCCACATTGCGCTTTCAGTACAACTACTGAATTCCCCATGTGACCCTTCCCATAGGTGTAACTCTGACATACTGGTAATTCCAGATATGTACCGCAAGTAATTAAAGGGTAACTTGTCCGTAACTCTGTATGTCAGAGAAAACACAAAACATTGTGATTGCCCAGGTGTTTAACAGTTATGTGTGGTATTCATTCAACAGGATATAGGACCAGATTGATGGAGAAGAATGGCCCGGATCTCGTTGGACTGCGCCAACTCTTTACCAGGGATCCCCCTCAGTGTGCTGTCGGTGCCCATGGAGAATAAGTACAAATGTCAGCAGTGTCTCCAGGTCCTGAGGAAGCCCGTCCAGGCTCAGTGCGGCCACCGCTTCTGTGTACACTGCTTCAAGCAGCTCACCAGGTAGACCGGAGATCCTCAGACCACCTACAGCCGTGTGCCATGCAAACCCCTTACCCCCCCCACCCCCCTAATCCTTCCCCTCTTACCGGACACGCTTCAGCACAACCTGTGTTCTTACCTCTGCTCGCCTCCGGTTATATTTCTTTTTGCACCCAAGATGAATTACTTTCTTCACACTCATCCCTCACATGACTGGAATCTTTGTACTGAAGTCAGTGAATCACAAGGATCTGACCATACTGACTCATTCTAAAGGTGTCCATTTCTCTTCTACTTCTGTCTCCTGTCACTGACTCATGCATTGTGAATTTATGACAAATACATTGGTCATTCACCTCATGTATCATGGTACTTTGACAGTATATATATATATATATATATATGGTGAAAATACAAGAATGTTATCATTTTAATGATACACGAGACCATATATGAAAGGGAACCTTAATAACATGGATGTGATGGAGTCTCATTTTGCTAATCTTCCAACATTCACACATCAAAAAGCTCTTTAATGTCATGTGACTCATGTGAATGGTTTAAAAACGTCATGTTGTTTCACATGTACTAAATTGTAACCCTCATGGGAAATTGAGGTGATTTCATGTGAACTGTTTGAAAACCACGTCTGCCTCTACATGAGAATTCATCATGTGATAATAAAAATCCACATGTACTTTTTGTTTCGTCATGAAACATTTTTGTTTTGTCATGAATTTCCCACACTTCCTTAAAGGTTGCGAGTTGCATCATTCGTACAGCGCTGCACGCTTCTGTCACTGCTGTTGTATTTTAATTGAATGAGTCGGCTAATTGAGCTGCGAGCCGTGCTGGTCAGCAGTTGTTGCCGCAATGAATCGGCAGGAAATTTGTTGCTGGTTTCTACAACCAACCAGTTGTTTTGTTTGTTCAGTTGTGGGCCAAAGCCTTGTGAAGCCTGCCGCCAGGAGGAGATATATGAGGAACCTATTTCCATTCTCAATAGTAATGAGGTAAGTTATGAACTACGTCATTTATCAGCCAACATTGTTGTTTTATGAGACGACATCTTAGTAATCTGAATGCTATTCCTCACTCCCAGTCTGACTCAAACTATAGAAATATGACTCCAGTCTGATGGGACTTTCCTTCACCACACCAGCACACAATGCTGCCTTTTATGTCTGTTTGCTTATTGCTTTATGAGTTCACCTCCCTCTGTTCTTTGTTTGTCCCACCAGGCATTTCCAGACAATGCAGCCGGTCGAGAAATAGCAAGTCTGCCTGCCAGGTGTTGGAACCAGGGCTGTGTTTGGACAGGCTTGATAAAAGAGTATGAGGTGAAGTATTATTCAGTCACTGTGGGTGTGCGTACTGCTTTCTACTCGAGTGATTTTCCCCGCCTGCCTCAGCTTAACCGTGTATACGTGTCGGTTTACTCCACCCAAACCTGTAGTGCCTGTATTCTTTAGAGTGTTTCTCAACCGCCATCCGCCTCAGAGTTTACCCTGACACTTACTACGCCTTCTCGGGGTCAGCTTCACATTGTTCCCCCCTGCAGCCTTGGGTTAGCATTTCACCTAAAAAATGTGGGTGTATTGCATACACTGCAGCAGTGCTGGAGAAACGGGAAGTGAAACTGCACATGCAGCCTGGAAAGTCCCCACGTTACCAGCTCGGATAACAACAATAACTCAGTGGGAAAGTACCAGGATAAGAAAGGCCCTTCAGCTCCCGCTAGACTGCTGATACGTTAACAATTATATCACCATGGAACTAGGTCTAAAGTTGCACCAGTTCACAAGGGAACTACTCAATTTATCCTGTTAATTATATATAACAGGAACTCGTTCAGACAGTGCACCACGTTCAGCAGACTGTGATGTATATAATTACAGAAAGCCCCATCTGAATCACACGGTGCCTTGTGTTTGAGTCAGTGCCACCTCTTTGTAGTTTTGTCTCTCCTGTGTGGCGAGTTAGTTTGTTGAGTAAAGAGTTGACTTGCTGATGCTTGTTCTGTGTAAACCGATGTTTGTAGTGCTGTCTGTCTGTTTGTAGTGCTGTCTGTCTGTTTGTAGTGCTGTCTGTCTGTTTGTGGTTTTGCTTATCTGAACTGTGTAACCCAATTTAGATCAGACTTTACACAGGAAATGTTGAAAAGATGTGATGACGGGGAATGTTTAAAAACCGAGAGCACCAAGCTGGTGCTGGAGATTACTTTTGCATGATTTGCAAATGTGTCTCAGACTGGTTAGCTTGTAAAGAAACACGTGCTCTCTTCTGTCGACCGTGTGGTCACGGCGTGCTATAATTTGACTTCGGTTCCCGAGGAAATGATTACTATGCTGTGTCAATTTGTGGGCGGCCGTCTTAGTCACTGTCGTTAGCTAGCCACAACACACCCAAAAGTCGCTGGAAAAATAGACTAAACGTGGCGTCGGAGTGGTGCGGTAGGGACGTGGATCGGACTGGAAAGCCATTAACGATGATTTATATTTGGTTTGGTTATTCGGTTTGAGATTTTCCAGTGTAGCATGTCTGAAAAGGTGAGCAGTCAAAGCGAAAAACAGCCTAGCCTACCTGTGGTGTGCTCTGCGGCTCCAGCGAGCTGTTGATAGTCGCAATGAAAGAGAATCACTTCCTTTTCGAATAAACTCCTCCCACCAGCCCGACCGTTTGGTTTCAAAATGATTTTAGCTTGTGAAACACTTTCAAAACCCGTTTCTTTTTCCAAGTAATGTATTGTCACACTTCGCTTTTTTATTTTTGCGCTTCTGTTTTTTCGTACTTTCATTTCTTCATCTTCGGTTTGGTTTGTTTCAAGATGTTGAAAAAAAAACCCAATCTGCTTTAACATGGTGGTGGAAAATTATTTATCTTTTGAAACTAAAACATAGAATATTGTCAAACAGAACTTGTCTTCAAAGTATTTATTCTTGCAAGAAGACGCACAGTTCTACATAGTCACAAAGAGTCTGTAGAGGTCTGCGCTACAGAGTTGTATAGAGAGTGATCGGGGGGGGGGGTGCTGTGTACTGGAACATCCTGTTTCAGGCCGTGGCAGTTAAAGTATAAGAAGTGCTTTATCTGTGTAACAACAGATACGTTCTATTCGTCGGGCAGAGAACATGTGAACAGACAATAGGTTCTTGTTATCCAACACACAGAAGAAGAGGATGTGTGTGCAGCTAGTCGGCTGATACACGGATCACAAGTTACATCATGCAAGCTTACGATGGCTTCTTTCACAACAAGTTATAAAACTTATAAGAATACAAAATACTCATAAGAATATAATATTTCCATTACCCAACAGCAAGATACATTTGAGCACGTATGTAAACACAAAGGATGAAGGTCTACTGAGTTCAGAGCAAAAGTACAAACACTTAAGCATTTACACACTTAAGTAGATTAATTTCATTTAATTACAAGAACAAACATAACTACTTAATTATAGTTACTTGTGATCACTTTTGTGATTCGCTGCACTGGGGTGTTCCCCTTCACGTGCTTCTTACACACTGGAGATAAATTCGATAAGTGTTTGTTGCTTTTCCACATTTCAGCTGTCAGAACATCGTGTACCACACATGCCAACATGTGCAGGCGTGACTGGCAGTTACATTTGTTCAGAGCATTCATGTCAACAGTGATCAACAAGGGTGTGCCATCTTTCTATAAAAGCTTTTATGGCTTATGTTTGCTCATCTGCCGTGTGAATTACACCGTATGCACGCAAGGATGCCGTAACACCAACTGATATCCTTTTTAAAAGAAAACGATGAACACCACACACGTGCTGGCAGTAACAATCTATCTGTCCTCCGTCGTTAGGCTCAGCATGAAGGCCGCTGTGAGTTTGAAAGGATTCAGTGCAAGGCCTGCCAAACCTCCGTCCTTCGTACGGAGAAGGACCGACACAATGAGAGAGAATGTGAAGCAAGAACGCTCAACTGTAAATACTGCAAGATGACTTTCAACTTTAAAGAAATCAAGGTGAGAGATGGAGATGTATCGAGTGTGCGAAGCAGTCGTTTGTTGAAATAGGACACAAAGTGATATTCTCTTGCTCCTGCATGCTGTGTGTTTTAGGCCCATGATGAGATCTGTCTGAAGTTTCCCTTACAATGCAAGGACTGTGGCAAGAAGAAGGTCCCCAGAGAAAAGGTTTGAGCTGCTCCTCAAAGTACTCTCAGCATTCATTACTCTGCCTGGTAACGCGTGACAGCTTTCTGACCAAAGCCTCTGAGATGTCAGACTTGTAGAATATAACTATAAAGCGACAGGTAGCTTCTTTTTACTGTAGCTAAGCATATAATATTCACTGAACGGACTAATGCTACAGAGAGCATTCGTAGCTCAAGCTAACATGAAACAGCTGTCCCTGAATGATCCAAAAGTACACAAACACACAAACAATAGGCAGAGAAGTTACAGTAAATGTAGCATGAAACTAGATGCATGTGAGTTCCACAACAGTGAAAGTCTTTTTCATGGAGTTTTGAAGAAATGCAGATTTAGAATTCCCTTTATGACCACCGGTTTCTTTCTTCACTTTCATGTTTCTGTTTCAAGTTGAATCGGTCCAATGACTCTTAACCCTTTTTTCTTTTTTCTCTTCCTTCAGTTCAATGACCACAGCAAATCCTGTGCCAAGTCAAAGAGTGCCTGTCCGTTCAGTGACGTGGGCTGTAAACATGTGGTATGTACGATAATCTAATCAAATACAGTGTTGATATTTTAGTGTTTTCTTTACTTTTTATTGAAACATTGATGCAAATACTCGTTGGCTTGTTTTCAAGGTGTTTTTAAAGGAAGTTTGACATTTTGGGAAAAGTGCAAATTCACTTTATGGCCAAGAGTGAGAGGAGATTTATACATCTGCAAAGTTAATATGAAGCTACATTCTGGAGATGATTAGCTTAGCTTAGCTTAAATAAAGGAATCGGGGACTAACAGCTAGCATGACTCTGTGCAAGGGTAACCAAATCTTCTAAAATGGAAAGAGTCCAGTACATAAATGAGCTCTGTTGTGTTTCTCAGATAGAGAACGGGAAGCTCGGCGACCATGAGCACAGCAGCACCATGGAGCACTTGCGTCTGCTGCTGCCCATGGTGCTGTCCATGCCCCTGGCGCATGCCGATGCTCCTGGTCAAGGAGAGTGGCAGGAGGACTCTGGTCTGGGCCTGTACAGGGCTCCTGAGGAGGGAGTCGCTATGGGCCTCGGAGCTGCAGCCTCCGTGCAGTCTGTGGATGTGGAAAAAAAGGTCGGTCTCAATGGATTTAATGCTCTTTGTTGTTATATTTATAGGTTTTGAATGAGGATCTAAATGTATTTGTTGTTTTTTGACAGGTGAACGCTTTAGAAAACATTGTGTGTGTCTTGAACCGGGAGGTGGAGCGCAACTCGGTCACGTTGGAAGCTTTCTCGCATCAGCATCGACTAGACCAGGACAAAATAGAAAACCTCTCCAATAAAGTGCGTCAGCTAGAGCGGACGGTCACCATGAGAGACTTGCAGCTGTCTGAAACAGAACAGCTGTTGAGAGAACTGCAGTTCTGCACCTACGACGGGATATTTGTGTGGAAAGTCTCTGAATTCTTACGCCGCAGGCAGGATGCTGTGGCCGGTCGAACACCTGCGATGTTCTCACCAGGTAAGATGAGAGACGTAATCACCGCCCATCCGTTTCAAAGGTCTCCTGTACACATGGTGTTATCTGTCAGCTGAAAGGTTGTTTTTGAGTGAGCTGAGATCATGTGGCCTGTATGATGTGTTGGCGTGTAGTCGAGGGGAATTTCACTTCCCTCCACCCTTGTTGCGCCTCAGGGAGTGATCGTGTCACTCCTATTCTCACATGATGCTGTTTTTAAGCTCTTGTTTACATTGTGGATTCTTCTCTTTTCTCCTCCCAGCGTTCCACTCCAGCAAATACGGCTACAAGATGTGTCTGAGGCTGTATTTGAACGGCGATGGGACGGGTCGAGGAACACACCTGTCGCTGTTCTTCGTCGTCATGAGGGGGAAATGCGACGCTCTGCTCAAATGGCCGTTCAGCCAGAAGGTAGCAAAGCTTTACAAACCCTCTTTTTACCCATTTTTAATCCACAAACACTGCTACAAACGGCTCAAAACAAGCTCCTTCTCTCTCCCCCAGGTGACTCTAATGCTCTTGGATCAGAACAACAGGGAGCACATTATCGATGCTTTTCGCCCTGATGTCACCTCCACCTCCTTTCAGCGGCCAATCAGTGAGATGAACATCGCCAGTGGCTGCCCGCTCTTCTGTCCTCTGGCTAAACTGGCTGGCAAAAGCCCCTATCTGAGAGATGATACCATCTTCATCAAAGCTATTGTAGACCTCACAGGCTTGTAAGGTGTTATCTGTGGAAGCTACACCAAAGCAAGAAAAAACAACATAGTAAATGAATAATAATAATATATCTATTATATTTATAATAGTTAATCATGCATTATATGGCTTTAATATTATATTATATCATATCTTAACTATACATTAAGAATGTCATCAATTGTCACATTATGACGGGTGCACAAGGTTGTGTACAATCACATATCTAATGTTTATAGACGTCCGTCTTTAGTCAACTGACAGACGCACTGCTGTGTCATACCCGGGCTTTATGGAAGTTTAGCTATTTCTGTTAATGTCTTGTATAGTTGAGACTTTGTCAGCACTTTCAGTGTAAAGATGTCAGCAGGAGTTAAGGTGAAGTGCTTAAATCCATCAGAGCTTTCAGATTTGGTAACATTAACGTGGCAATCTTATAGATATTTGCAGTATTACAAACCGGGTGTCTTTAACGACATTACTGGGGAAAAAATGCTGTATTACAGTTTTTCTCCATTTTGTACACACAATAAATGGAGCGGAACACAATTCTGAAAAATATTATAGTATGAAATTTTGCTAAACTCTGAGCACAATGCCATTGTTTTCACTCTAATTTCTATTTGAGTGAAAACAACCAAATCTGAGATGTTAAGGAGCTGCTGAGTTAAATATCTCTCTCATAATAAAAGAGGTCCGCAGTCATCGATCATCTTCATGTGACCCTGTTGGCACTAGAGTGAAAGCTGAGAACTTAAAACTAAATCACATAACAAATATTTGTATCAAATACTCTGTATATAGTGCATACTATATTACAATAATTAGAACACTCCGTACTCCGCTCTGCATTACGTAATATCACATGGACTACCAACACAAGACTCACATTGAATTCAGAGCAAGTGATAGGTTTTTAGGTTTTATGGTGAAGTACAGAGGATGAGTTGAGGTGTCTTGCAACCTGAGGAAGGAAGCTTCTCTGTAGTCTGGTTGTACGTCAGCGGATACTTCTGCACGGGCACCTCACCTCACTGATGCTCTGTAGATGGGCACCGAGGATTATCTGGATGGTTTTAATGAAACATTTATAGCAGGTTAATATTGTTATGAAAACACACTGATACCTTCATAGTCAGCGCAAATCCCTGCTAGTGCTACTAGTTACTAGAAATCATTAACTAATATTCACTATATAATCTTATAACATACTTCAATCGTAATCTATGAATATTTATTAGGATTAAGCCAAAAATGTAATTGCTGATTTTATTTCCATTTTATTCCATTGCTTTAATATATATATATACACACACACTTTGACGTGTATAATAAAGTACTAATTAGTTTGACATTTATTGTTTTTTTATATGCATTTATAAGTGTGATGTGTGAATCTTTGGGGATTATTTGAATACTTTTAGTTACCAGTTACAATATATTTACCTTGGGCGTAAAGGGAGTTATGTTGTCATTGTTTAGAAAATAAAATAATATAGATTAATCAGTAATGAAAATAATTATTAGATAGAGCCCTACTAGGGAAAATATATCTAAACTACATTGATAATGTCCTGAAGTGAGGAGAAGCGTCACAAATAGAAATAGATGATCCTTTTATCTGATGATTTTCCCCTCTTGGTCACTTATAAATATTCCCCTGTGGGTGTAAAAGGTTTGTGTTGTTCTGTAAAACTCTCCGATGCCGTCTGCTACGGAGTGATGAGACGTGTCCGTAACGACCCAGTTCAGTAATGGAAAATAACACCTGTGACAATAACAACCACATCAAACCGCTAAACCACCATGTCACAAAGTGGTGTGGGAGGGTGTAAACCTAGTTATTGGTGTATTTTGTATGTTCCTGTATTGCTGTTGTCACGAATGTTGACGTGCTGTTATTTATATATTAAAGAAATCCTGTGTTCCAAACTTGGCCATGAAGTTTAAATATGTGGGCACTTGCCAGACGAGGAGGGTCTAATAAAAAGACGCCATTTGTTCCATTATGGGAAATATAGGATCCAGTTTTGAGGTTGTTTCCCTAATCGGTCTCTCATGTTCTTCAACTTTATTGAAGTGGAATACTAAATTGCTGAAGTAAACTGTCAACAAACAAGTAAGAAACACCTTCACCAGATGATTCAAAGCACTGCTGATACCAATATCCTACCTCAGATTCACAGATTGTTAGAAACATTGTTTTAGTTTGCATACACTATGGCTACAATACAAATAATATTTTCAACATAAGTTTAATTTGCCCGAGAAGCTGAAAATGAGGTTTTGTTCACAGGTCTGCATTTGCAGATCCGAGAGCAGCATGTTAGAAAGAAGTGAGATAAAAACGGCGCCTCGTCTTCAAATTGGTTTCATTCTTAGTTACACGTTACTTTCTTTGTGAAAGCCCGTTCACACACAGACCACATTATCTTGAGTTCAAGTCAAACATCCACACCCAACTAGTGCTTATGATAAATGCAAAGTCATTGACATTATTAGAAGATCTAGTTTCCTGTGTTAAATGTTACTAAAGGCCAAGGGACAGTTCACTAGTACAACAGAAAAGGTAGAAGCCCTCTCCCAATGTCCCCCCGAAGGCCTTGAGCCCTGAGTTTTCATTTGTTGTTTGTTACTGTCTGATTTGACCGTCTTCCAGACTCTTGCCTTACAAGACAAAAAAAGTATAAAAAGTTATTAAAAGTCAGTATCTTAAAGAAAAGTCATATTATAGAATGTCGAAAAGGAGTTATAGTATAGCTGCAGCATGTCGAAAAAAAGTCATTAAAAAGTCATGGTATAGTATGTTAATGAAAGTGATAGTATGGTGAAACGCTCAAAGGCTGATACACAAATGGGAGACTAGACAAGTGCAACAGTGATAACACATTTATTTGAAGTATCCCATTGTCAGCATGTGTGAACATGTCTGGAGCAAACGAAACAGAACAGCAGTTGTGTCAGACAAGGAAGAGAGGGTTCATGTTCATGTGCTGAGCTTTGAAACCTGGAACATCAGGCATCAACATCCCGATGATCAACATCCTGCAAGACAAAGAGCAGCAGGCAAACAGGACACGGACCCCTGATGGAAAGGAGGGGCTGTCAAAATACTAAGCTAAAAAAAGTCATAACAATTTCATTGTTTAATAAATTGCAAAAAGTCATGAAAACTCACTGTATGGTATGTTGAAAAAATGTATGTTGTAAAATGTTATTAAAGTCATAAAAAGTCATATTATAGAATGTCGAAAAGGAGGCATAGCTTAGAATGTTGAAAGGAGGCATCGTATGATATGTTGAAAAAAATCAATAAAAAAGAATGTCGAAAAAAGTATCCTGTGATCTCATGTGTTGTTTTTGTTCCATCTTTAATCTTTAATGTTTCTGCGTAAATTTAATACGACAGGCTGAACACACACGTGCCATTCTTTTTGTTTACGTCTCTCTGCTTCCACTGGTTGAATGTTAGTCATAAAAAAGTCATATTATAGAATGTCGAAAAAGAGGCATAGTTTAGTATGTTGAAATAAGTCATAGTATATTATGTGCAAAAAAATCAGTAATAAGTCATAGTAGGAGTCAAAAGTCACAAAAAAGTCATAGTATGTCGAAAAAAAGTCTCAAAAAATGTACCAAGAAAGGAATATTAATCTGACACGTTTGCAGACGTCGAGCATTTCAGGGCATGCTTTATTATTTCAGAGAGTTTGAAAATGACTTTAGACGACAGGAAAACACAATTAACAAAAACGGTGCTACAGTATCCAAAGGGAACCAAAGATAACGTTCATGACTTATTACACACATTTCAAACGTGGAAAAATATTGTTCAATTGTTGGTAAGAATCAACTGATGACGTGAATAAGTTTCTCAAAAAATATGGCGTGAAAATGCAACCAATTAACTTTGGCCAAGTAACGAGCCAACAGGTGACATTGATCTGTACGAGCACTTTGTATATGTGTGCATCACTGGTCGTCCTTTTAAGGTGCACGACACATCTATCATGATTCAATGAGGTGACATCTCTGTGACTTGAAATGTTTGTCTTTATTGTTCTCGGTGTATAATCTGTTCTTCCAACAGAATGGCAGCTTTAATATAGTTACAGTTGTACTCAGAAGGGCTTTCCATATGTAAGGATGAGGAAAGAAAATGTTTATTTTTTTAATTAAAAAAACGTCCGGGACACTTTTCTGAGATTCATCCGTCGCTTTAGAGTCTTTTGACAAAATGAAAGGGCGCATTTTTGTGCTACAAACAAATAAAGGTGTATAAATACATTTTTACATAATATCGGTCCAAATAACAAGAAGCTACACAAACAAAATCTTTTGTTCACAGTCGAGCTTCACGCTAACTGTACTTCGTCGACTCTTCTAGATTAATTTACTCAAGAATTCTACTTTGAATAGAGCGATCGAACAACGGGATGTAATTAAAAAAACCAAGGCTGACTGTTGTCTTCCCTTTAGGTTTTAAATAGTTTTATAATTATCTGAAACAATGAGTTCTAGGGTGTTTAACTGGACATATCCATTAATAAGAGAATACATTTCTGCAGTAGTTCTCAGTCACAGCACATGACGACCGCGATCGTACGGTTTCGTCTCTGCGGGGCTTCACGTACATTTACACAGCGCAGGAGTCCCGACCTGCTCGTACGCAATGATTACAGATAAAAAAACAAAACAAACACGTTTTGGGCGTCCGTCCTGTGCAGCTCTACACTATCTCTACCTGTGAGAACATGTCTTATCACTCCTGTCAACAGCACAACAAGAGACTGTGGGGATGTCTCTCCTTTGCTGGTGCAACAGCTCTCTCTTGTGTCGTAAATGCTGAGTCGCATCCCGCCTCCTGTTAGCTGAAGACACTTAGCGCTGCTGTGTGTGTGTGTGACACAACACCGTGAGCTCAAGCAAAACCACTGACTTTAACCACACTGTACATATTCATGGAGTGTATATATGTATATATATTCACACCACAGAGGAAAAAGATCACACTTCCTCCTCCCCCCCCGCCGCCGCCCCGTCCCACTTCAAGTGTTTTCCCAACCTGACTAATGGATTTCCATTCACGCTGCTGGCAGCCGTGGAGTTCTTGTTGCGGTTCAGCCAGGACGGCAGAAGGCTGCGAGGCCTCAGCAGCCGGCTGGGGGCCTGCGCCAGGCGGACCATGCGCGGCGAGCGCCACACCTTGATGGTCGAGTCATCGCTGGCAGACAGCAGCAGCTCCTGGTCAGCGGGGCTGAACGCTACCGAGTTCACCACGTCGTCGTGTGCCAGACGTGCCAGACAGATGTTGTAGTGACGGTCCCAGATGTAGCCATGCTTGTCCTCTGCTCCGCTACAGGTGGGAGATTAGAGACGGAAGTCAGCGAGGCCTTCGTGATGTGATTATGTCAACATTACTGTCAAAGCATTTGCTTCAGTCTGTTATTAATATATAGATAGATACTTTAATTAATAGTGAAGGCTGCATAATGTGAAAGCTGCATCTATTCTCCAAAACAATCAGACGGTCTTCGGTCACCCACCTGGCGACAAAGTCTCTGCTGACGTCGAGGAAGATGAAGAAGCACTCATCGTTAGGCGTGAAGGCTCGGTGAGCGCGCAGGCTCCTTCTCTCCTCCCTCAAACTCTTCAGATCGATGACGTGCAGGTCAATCTCCTCGGCAATGGGAGGAGGAGACATGGGGTCAGAGATCACACACCCGGCTGGCCAAGCCCGGCTATTCACATAAAGGTACCTGATGAAGGAAAGGAAAGCAGTACATTTATGAGTCAATGGCACATGTAATCGGAGAAGTTGAATCTATACATATTTTGAATTACCTGTGGTCTGGAGAAAGGCCCATCCCAATGATGTGTCCATGGATATCAATAACATGGTCTAAGGAATCAAAAAACTCATCTGAACTCCGCTCTTCCCCGAGCACAGGACCACAGGTGGTCATCTGGTCAGGCTTGATCCGCTTAATACCTAGAAAGGGACAAAGTCGACCGCATGACACGTCTGACAGCATTGTGTGTGTTTTCTTATGAAAAGTTTCATAAATTCATACATTATATCTGCATATTTTCCCTTCGATGCCGCAGCTTGGAAGCGTTCTTACCTATCTGGTGAGGGGAGTACGTAAGGCTGCCGGTGGTGAAGAGTAAGTAAGTTTTGTCCTCTCCGTCTCCGGGCTCAGAGGGCTCAATGAGGCTGGAGTCAGGGGCCTTCGTGTGGGCTCTGCCCATCACCTTTGCCACGTGGGTCTCAATCGCCAACTCCGTGTGCCCTACATTTTTACAACTCTAACAGGAAGGAAGAGAAGCACAAAAAAAGAGGCCGAATGAAGAACAGTATTAATTGAAAAAAGCATCAAAAGGCCTTGAGTTTTACATCCAAATCACCTGTAAAACGTGCTCCAGGCCTGAGATGGAGGGCTGAGGAAAGCGAGCAGTGGGAAGCCTCGCTTCCTCGCCCCCCACCGCTTCCTCGTCTTCTTCCTCACTGCCGGAGGTTCCCAGGTCGAAGAGGAGGGGCTGGTGCTGCTGTGGCTGCTGCTGCTGCCCTTTCTGCCTCCGGGCCTGGGACTGGGCCTCGTAGTCCAGCAGCAAGTCCGGGTTGTCGTGTCGGCGGCAGTGGGCCACCATCACCGTGCGGATGGTGCTGGCGTTGACGTTCTGGATCTTGAAAAGGCGCTTGACTACGTTGACGTTCTCCGATTCAACATCCTGTCGGAGAAAAGAAAAGGGGGAAGAAGAGGAGAGACATTGAGCGTTGACAATTTTGACCGACGTGACCAAAGAGGCTTCAGCTGCTGCGCTGGGTCTCACCTGGAAGGCTTTGTTGAGCCAGAGCACAGAGCAGGACGTCATGTTGCCGATCCAATGCAGGTTCCCAGAGATCAGGTGGGACTCATTCAGCCAGCAGCCAAACACATCGTACGGCTTGTTCCTCACACGTGACAACAGCGTGTAATTGTCTGCAGCGTGTTAAGAAAAGGGGGGAATGGAAGAGTTTGAAACACACACTCACTCTTATTTAAGGAAAGATATGTACACATGTGAAAACTAAAAATAACTTCAACAAGTTGAACCATCAACAGGAAACTACACATGATGATTAACTGTGGGATTTTCTTGGTTCCTACCCAGACTGATGACAGCGATTTCCCCAGACGAGGAGTTGTGTGGGCCCATGTAGACACCAGACACAAGCAGCAGGGTGTCGTCAGCGTTGAACTGGGAGAACTGGGTGTAGCCCCAGTTAAACTGACGCATACTGGAGCTGTGCACCATCGCGATATTACCGTCTAGCCGCTCCGTGTCCCACAGCTGCAACACAGGAAGCCAGAGGACAGGTTAGGAACAGTGATAATCATAAACCTGCTATGAAGCAAAGTGAGTTAACCATTTATGAGTGTTCAAATGACAAAGAAAAGCCCGACGACAGTTAATACGTAACTAAAACGATAAACACAATCACTTTTCACGCTGGCAGAAAGTAAGAAAAAAGACCATCCGGGATGAAAGTAACCGCAATGATCTTTTAATCTGACCTTGACGGTGCAGTCTTTGGAGCAGGAGGAGAAGCGGTGACCCCTGTGAGAGAAAGCCAGGTGGAGGACCTGGTCAGTGTGCTCTCTCAGCGTCTGCACCTCCACACAGGGGATACAGTCGAACAGGCGCCTGAACTCCCTGTACCATGACACCGCCGCTGCACAAAGGAAGAATCCGGTTATTTAAACCTGCAACTGGCCTCTTAATGTCTCCACTCAAAGCTGTTTTTAAATCATCCGTGAGACAAAAGATGGTTTACCTGGGTGTCGGGGTACAGAACGTGGGATGCGGTAGTAGCTGTAGAACAGCTTCCTCCAAAGGAACTCATCTCTGGAGACAGCCAGCCACTGTCTGCAGGTCAGACCCACTCTGAGCACGGCATCATGGGGCAGATGCAGGAAGATCTCCAACACCAGGCTGTCCGGCAGAACTGGGCCACACTCCATCCTAACATCCTGTGTACACCACAAGTACACGGAGGGGATGTGATGTGAAAGCAACTACAACCCACACACATGAAGTTTCCCCTCGAGTAGCTTTCTTCCATCTTGTTACATTGAAGCAATATGGTGTAAAAAGTAAAAACATGTGTTTAATAGCTGCAAAATACACCATGCATGTGCATCATTTTTTACATTTATTTGATATATAAATTGCCGCTCAGAGTACAAAAACTTTGCAAACCCTCAAGGCTTAATTCCAAGCAGCAGAGGATGCCAGCTATTAAATCCAACAGTACATATTAGGGTTGCAATTGTCTTAATTAATCTGTAAGTTGTTTTTTCTATAAACAGTGAAAAAAATATAGAAAACACAAATAGAAATATGACACATTCTAACTAATAATATACATTATAAATTAGAAGAATAAACACTACAATCATTATTATTATGTTGGCCTCTGCATCCATAAATAACTTCCAACCTTTGAAGGGAATTTGAGCCTGACACTGGTGTGTTTCAATGCATAGACTCACTGAGCTGTGTTCACGCGTACAGGCTGTCAGAGCAGCTCATTAAAGCTTTCATCTTTAATTTGACAAGCACTCCATAACGGCTCCTCAGACACTTATAAGGAAAGGACAATTTAAAGGAGGGTTTGTGGTATATGTACAAAATCATATAGTTGCTGGTGGAATAGAGCCACGTAAACGTGGCGTTTCCTCAATTACAAGCTATGAACATTAGTAGAATTAATGCAAACTACACGTTATGAATGAATAATCAGTACCCTCGTCTAATTCAATAAGCTAATGCAGCTCTTCTCTGAAGAACCAATCGGTCGGGTGAAGATGACCGAACATGGACATTTGTGTCGCTGTGCATAAACAGTTAAAACTCACAACAAGTTCCTGTGTTTACACTGAAAGCAGACTCCCCAGCCTTCCTGATTACATGTGACACGATACACAGCTCGTGATCTGATGGCTAGTTTGTGTTTTTTAAAGCAAAATCAGTTAAGAGCTTAATTTCAAGCTATGCTAGCAGAAATGTCTATCAAGCTAACGTTAAGCTAGCTAACTTGTTAACGAGCCAGCTAGCGGTTAGCTGACGTTTGCTTTCAACTTTTAGCTACGACGTTTACTTCCGACAACAAGAGGTTACGTTTATAAACTAGTGCTTTCGTTGTAGGTGTTAATCAGCTTGGCTCAGTTAACACCTGTTGACATAAACTGTGACCCACCTGCTGGATCAAAGTATGTTGGAGAGAAAAACCAAGCGGCTAGCTAGCGCTGAAGGCTAGCCACAGAAAAACATGACAACAATCCTGCAGCTGCGGTGAGTCGTCAAGACTGAACTAACAGATCACAGCATCATCGATGAAGCGAGACCAACTCAATCTATTCCGTGTTGGAGATACATTTTCCTCTTGATTATGATCAAACCATCTCGTGGTGGCCTAATAGCCACAAGACATGCAATTTTTTTCATTTATAGAAATTATCACGAGTCTGATTTAGATTTTTCTTGTATTTTTATAAAATATATATTCTATCTATTATTATTTTTGTATCATTTCAATATGTCACCATATTTCTCTAATGAAATAGACTTTGTACCTTGACTGGAGTTGTTATTGCAACTAAATGTTCATGATTTTGATTATCTTTATTTATGTGTACAGATTGTATGAAAAGATGACTCATGAATGTGTACATTATCTCAGTTACTGTCTTTGCTCACCGTTTTCATGTCTTTGAATTAAACATGCAAAGGAAACATTGAGGAAAACACATACCAGTAATTCTATACTTCCTGTATCAGTGTGGTGGCCCTCAGTTCGCTGACATCAGTCAGTGAGTAGAGTCTTTGTAACAGAATTAACGCTCATTGGATCACATGGGAACAGATTACTAACTCATAAAGAAGATATTATATTGGATCTATGCTGTGACTAATATTCTCTGGTATGTATTCAAACTTTCTCATACAATTTTATAGCAAGTTTCTTTAGGCAATTTGTGCAAAAAGGTTTTATTAACTAGATGTTATTATTATGAACGACATCTTTACCTGATAAACAGCCTTATGCTTTTCACTGTGATGAGAAACACATTTTAATCAAACTATAGACTTATAATAGTAAAATGCAGAGTAGCATTGTGTACAAAATGGAGCGGGTTAAACCTGATAGGGGTGGCATCAGATTACCTGCCACAACATTATCCCAGCAGCAGTGTTGCTGATACTACAAACAGATAATAGAAATAATATAGTCTGTTTCTTCCTTCCTTTAGCTCTGCGCAATGCCGCCGTGTGGATAGCTTCTTGCTGTGGCTCCTCAAAGAAGGACAGGACAGGACAATACCAGTGTAAAGGTGCTCCCTGTTGGGTGAAATGGAACCATTTTGAAATGATGATCTGTGTAGATCTGATGGCTAAACTGTCTTTTTTTCATCAAGGTACAGGGCAGGAAGTGTGGACAGTCTCTAGTGATGAAACAACATCCAGTAAAAATCCTCCCTAATTCCTCTGGACAGGAGAGATGCCCACATCTCCCCTCCACTTTATTTATTTCTGAAGTTCATTAACTTGCAATATGTTGCTCTGTACTTGTTATAATGATGACTTGTCTGAAAACTCCTTGTTTGGAAGTTGGACAATGTCTGACAGCAGACAAGCGCAGCAGTGGCTCAGAGGTGGCTTACACCTCCTGTGTACCAATAATGTATATGGTGTAAATGCAATGTGGTCAACACAGCAAGTTAATCCAATAAATTCAATAAATGGCTATTAACATCATAATAATATAATCTGTCATTTAAGTGTCCTTCCCCTGTTTCTCCAGGAGAGGCCCACCTTTCTCTAATGAGATTCTCTTTCTCTTCTGGGTATTTGGCGCCATCGTGTGGAAGAAAAAACAACTGCAATGACCTGCAGATTAAAGATAAACAGAAAACTGATTTATTTATTACCCACTTACAATTTAGTGGACATTAAGTGTATACGATTAAAACACATTTTCAAAAATTCCACCTCTTTGATGAAGACAACTTTATTGTCCACAAAGGTGAAAAATGATCTTTCCCCCCATCTGGCAATTCATCAAAACATCAAAGCATAAAAAAATACAGCAATGTCTTTATTTGATTAGGAGTGCAGTTAAGTAAACTAGTCTTTATAACATGTTATGATATGAAGTGTGATAATATATAATATATATGGCATATATGCTCAGTGTAAAGCAGCAGCATGTGTTTTTTGATGGGTGACTTCTGAGAAGAATTACCATCATTTGTTATATCTTATCATATTTATTTAGAATAGAAGAAAGCACAAATGTATTTACATTCACATGTACAGTATAGCAATACAATACAATTTTACATTTACACAACAGTATAGTATACAGTCTGTGCAAGATTAAAGTGACAATTTCAGTTTACAGTGAGGATGCAGCTGAAACAATGTACACTGGTGGCCACGTCCCTTAGTGTCCACTTACTCGACAAATATTTGACTGTTTTCACCTGAGCTGGTGAGGATGTGATGCAAAATAATCAGTTTAAAAATGTGGAAAATATCGGGGGTTTTTCTCCCACATTTGTAGTGATGTATGACACAGGTTTAAAGATTACACGAGAATAACAAACTTTTTTTGTAAAATCTTCAGAGTTGTTTTTCAGCACATTTCAGCTTTCCAAAGACAAACATTAAAACATCTTTCTGCTGGAATTCTGATCGCATGATAGCCAAAAAATACAAGCAATACAAATAAGGCAACATATTCAAAAGTCTGTGAGACGCTTTGCTATCACATCAACTCCTGTATTCCCTTAGTGGAGGCCTGTCCCATCAGGATCTCCTTTACTTCTCCCCTACAGCTGTAACCTAAAGTGCAACGTTGTTCTGCGTGACTGTCCCTCCGTCTGCCTGTCATCATAGCACCATGGTGGGGATGTGGTGCGCCAGGGGCATCTGGTGCTGGTGGGGCATGGCCGTCATCTGTGGGGGAGGAGGGGACACTTTGGATAACATTTCGGCGGCGTGCGCCGCGGGTTTGTGCCGCGCGCTCTTCTGGTGCGCCCTCAGGCCCGCCAGCTGGGAGTAGGCGCTCTGACAGACGTGACACTTGTAGGGCCGCTCCCCGGTGTGCAGTCGGACGTGGTTTCGGAGCGTGGACGACTGGCTGAAGCGGCGGTTGCAGAAGCGGCAGACGAAGGGCTTGTCCAGGGTGTGGATGCGCATGTGGGAGCGCAGGTTGCTGCGGGAGTTGAAGCCGCGGTGGCAGATGACGCAGCGCATCCGACTGGCTGTGGTTGTGCAGGCGGGTGGGGAGCCAGAGGAAGGGCCCTCGCAGGAGTGAGAGTCCTCTGGTAGAGGGAAGAAAAAGGGACGGAGATGAGATTACGTTTGTCTCAGATGTGTGCTGCTGCTCAGATTTATAGTTTTAAAATTACGTAGTTTATCTAAAAAAGCTAAATTATAGGCTACTCACCATTCCTAGTTTTCTTCAGTTGTTCTTCATCTATTCCCGGAACTCCGGGGATTCCCAGGAACGTGTTCTGAGTGTTTCCATACCAGACAAGAAGCTCCTGGTCTGGCGGGATAGTCTGAAGAAAGAGGGCACACGTCAGCTAATCAGCTTGTGTCTTTGATTTGCTGCTTTGCTGCTGGTGCAACATGACAATTCCGAATTCCAGAAATCACATATTCAATTATCCCTTTGGCCAGCAGACGGCGCTGTTCTAAAGGGCATTTACATTGTTGTCGGTCAATAAAATCCCATAAAGCCAATGACTGCACCAGTCAATGTTACAGACATACAGCGTTATTCACAAGAGAAACAAACTAAAGTGCATTTTTTTTTTTACCTCCGACGCCTTGTAGAATATGCTGCTGCCGATCTGCACCACCTCCAGGTTCTGCTCTTGTTCATTCCGGGCGCACTTTATGTAAGTCATCCAGCTGCGTTGGTCCTCCTGGCTGGCATCGATGAAGTAGCGCACCGTGCCGTCGTCATTGAACACCTGAGCGCACACAAACAGCGAGGAAGTTATAAAACATTTGTCACACATCGTGTCACAATCATCATGCCCTGCAAGCTGAATGAATGAACTCGAGACTCCATCAGAAACTAAAGTCTCAGCTCACCTCCCACATGAGGTTGTTGTTCTTGAGCAGGTCCACGTGTTCCGGGGACAGGACTCTCCCTGTGAAAGGGCCCATCTCAGTTCCTGCTTTGATCCAGGTCTTCGAGAAGATGCCCAGACCTTCTCCGGGGATCGAGCTCTGAGCGATGATCACTTCACTGGGCAGCACCAGGCTGGACAGCTTCTGCACCTCTACAGACATAAATAACAAACGTGAGTTAAATGAAAGCTATAGATTGTGCATTGACAAATGTGCACGAGTAAAACTGCACAAAAAATGTAATTCCAATAAAGCGCACAGACTAATGTAAATTCTGGGTAGATGCCAAAGCGCCTCATGAAACAGGAGTGCTGGAAAAGTCCTGAAAGCAGCTAATGGACTGGATCTTATTTTAGTCACGAAATATTAAGCTACACCTTATCCTCCGTTTAATTCGATTATCTGGTTGAATTGAACGTTTTTGTTCCCCCTCGGAAAGCATTTTTATCCGCACCAGAAAGGGGAAAAAGAAAAAAAAATCGTGCGTTTCTTTAATGTCAAAATCAAAGATTTTAGGCTTCGAAAAAAGCCGGGCCGAATAGGGGTTAAATGGTCCTCTATTGCCCAGGGTCCAGCAATTTGTCATGCTTCAGATGTGATATTCATTAAAGTTTACTGGAAAAGAAACGGCTAATTCCAAATTCATTATCCTTTTAAGAACTTTGTAGCAATAAATTTGCGCTGAATGAAACGAGGACTTGTTAAAAAGACTCAGGAATTTCTGCAACAAAAAAATGGAAAGGCGATTAGATGGTTGACATGCAATGAATAGCATTAGATTTACCCTTCACGGTGCATTATGCGAGGAACAGCAAATCTTTTAAGGGGAGAGAAAGAGAAAAGCTCCGGAGCCCCATAGCTGCCAAGAGAGGAAAAGAGACTGTCCGGAGATTGATGAATGCGGGATAAAAACCCGGGACGTCTCAAAGAAAGGGAACCTTTCTCTCCTCGAGGTTTAAGTGGAAATTTTCCCAGGTCAAGCACAAAGTTAACCAAATTAATTTAATGCCCTGCGTCTTTCAATCAGCGGCAGCTACACGCCTAACAAGCCTCTAAACGCGAGGTCTCAAAGCTCTGAAAGGGTTAACGCGTTAAATGGGTCGAAATAAAAGCAGCATAAGAGGGAAAATGTAGAAAACTGCAACAAGTTGGTGAGAGAAACTTTGGGAAATAAATGTTTGAGATGGGCATGACGTGGGGTCTTCTTGAAATAAGGATAGATGAGGTTATATTATTTGAACAAAATGCCCAAATTTGTATGTCAGCGAAAAAATAAAAAAATATCCTCGTGGATTTCTGTGATACACATTTGTAGAAAATCTCATACAATCTAAACTAAACATTATTTGGAAGAAAAAAATATCTAGGCTTCATTAAAACTGTAATCAAATAATGCTTTTTATTTCAAGAAAAAAAAACATTTAACTTAGCGTAATATATACTTAACATTAGGCTACAAACTTCCAAACTTGCACTGCAAAAATGATAAAAAAAACAATCGGGATTGAAATGAAATAAAACAGTCCCATAATAAAGCAGCATGTCAGCCTACCTCCGACGAAGGACTGCGCCAGCACCTCGGCGGTGAAGGCGGTCTTGGGGCTGCCGCTCTGCCGCTCCTCCGCCAGGTGTTCGCCCAGCACGTTCCTCCACCTGCCGTACAAGAAGCTGTGCAGGATGTCCGAGGTGATCACGTCTGACAGCGAGCGGCTCGGACACTTAAATCCAGACTTGAGAGCCAAAGAGTCGGCGGGTAGCACGGAGCCCATGTTGCAAATTAAAAAAAAGAAGAAGAACCCCCTGAAGTGACAACAGCGGTGCGGCTGCAAGCGGTACAAGCGATACAACAACAAAAAAGAAAGAAGAAGAAGAAGAAGAAGAAGAAGAAGCAGAGCTGCTCCTCAGTGCGTCCTTCTGCTCCAAACAGTCTGTGCGTAAAGGTGCCCTGCCTGGCTGTGAGGGTCTCTTTATATAAGTGGCTAGTGTGACCCCTGTCTAATTACTTATTAATGACACACCCCTCACCGCGAGGACCTGCCCGCTGCACCGCAACACACCAGCGGAGACATTACAAAAAACAACACACCAGCAGAGAGAATAAGGGAACAATTGTGGCCAAAACTTTAATTTACTAATTATCGGCACTTAAAGCTGAAATTCAAATTAAAGCAACATTTTTGTGCAAAGCTGCAAATGCATGCTGATTGGCTAAACTGTCGATAAATATATGTAATATGATAAAAAATAACGTGCTTTAAAAGTTTAAGAATGTTGTAAAAATAGATTATAGTAAACATAATTAACAGGATGCACGCTGTAGCATTAAACTATTGCACTTTGTTTAAAAACCATGCATTATAACTATAAAAAATAACCAGGTTTCAAAATGTAAAAAAGAATAAAATAAAGAACATTTTGTGGAAGTTTAAGTGATAAAGTGAGTTTTTATGTGCACAAGTGGGTCATTGAGTCTGGGAGTTGCTCGCCCATTTTTTTCTCATGCATTTGTTATTCATGTGGTGGTAATAATATTTTTTTTGTGAGGAGTTAGCGCGGGAATAACAAGAATGGAAACAATCTCGACGTGGAGTTTTTTTTTCTTACAGCATTGTTCGCATGCAAAAAATGCAAAGCTGCTTTGACGTGGTTCACTTTTTCAAGCCCTTGTTGAGGTAAGCGGTTTAATATTCATGGATGTTCGGAGCCCCCTCGGTATTGTGACAACGTTTAGATGAGTATATACGGCCCTTTTCTTCTCTATAGTCACAGTCCACTGTGTTTTTTCCTCTCTTGCCTATTTTTCGGGCTTGATGGACTGGGGCTAAATGGGCAGTTTTCCTTCTTTTCCAGCAGAGAGGACATCTTTATTCCATCCCCGGCTCACAGGTTTCCCATTCAGCTCTCCTCCAAGTAATGTCAGGGCCCTGAAAAGTGCTGCAAATCAATCTTTCATGGTGTTTTGAGGGCAATTTGACATCCATGCACTCCTCTTTTCACTCCAACAACTACAAGGGGATTGTCCGAAAAATGGGCAAGTTGTGCTCTCTCTTTCTTTCTTTCTCTCTCTGGACGAATATGGATTATGGCAATGTAATGAGAAAGAAGATATGGCAACTAAATACAATAGCGGAGGTTTTTTTTAACTGAGGAGATAGTGAAAAGGCAAGGTGAGTGACAGGGCACGAAAAAAGATTACTGTGAAACAGCTGCTTTTTATGAGCGGGCCCCTCCTACATTTGTCTCCTTTTCCCAGATGAAATTTCTCTGCTCTTTCAATGGGATTCTTTCTCATCTAGATTGATTTACATTTATAGCATTCATCGCACAAATCCGAGGTAAATGGCGGAGGACAGGGGGTGGGACCGCTTCTTTATTAAAGAGGAATTAAATGAATTGAATTGGGGTAACGCATGGATTTGATTTGCTTATTTATGCATTAACCTATGGCATTATCCGGAGCTAGTAAAGCCGCGGGCATGTCAGCAATAGCAAATCATCCTGCTTAGCTGTTCCATTGTAAAACAATTTAAGCTATTATTCTGTCCATTTAAAGCTTATCAATTTAATGTGGATGATTGACAATTATTGCACAAAGAATGCGGTAATTGTTTTATTTCAAAGAGCTGGTGGGAAACCTGTCAAAGAAAAGCGTTTGTTTGCGGATAAATAGCGGAGTTTAACGCCAATCAGGGGAAAAGAAAACGTGGGGAGAAAGGACTCGGTCATGTCAAAGTAATCCATGTGAGCGTTTAAACTTTAATGACAAAATAACTTCAAGTAAAAGACGCATTTATAAATAAAATACGAATAAAATAATTTGTCCTTCTAAAATAATAATCCCCAATAAAACACATGTGGCTAAAAATCCTAGTCACATTATGAATCAGTAACTCAGACACACGCACGCGCGTACACACACACACACCTCTGCAAACTGCAGTCATCCAACCAGCTGGGGGGAAAGAGTGCAGAGTCTCTGGGGATCCTCCGCAGGGTCATTAAAAACAGATTAAGGTAGCTGCCACAGTATGGAGGAGACTGAAGATCGGCTCATCTGTTGCAAAGGTGAGAGAGGTGGTGGAAGTCCCCCCCCCCCCCCTCAAAGAGCGTTTTCTCCACCCTCCCTTGTTGGACAGCGCATGGGGGAGTCAGGACACCTGCTTGATGTGGAGGAGTCGTTTACCTAAGTTTACACAGCGAGGAGAGCGGGGTTTTAAATTGTTTAGCCGAAAATATTGAATTGGAAAAGTGGATCCATCCTCTCCAACAATTAAAACATTATCACTCAGTTCAAAGCAAAAACACCAGTAGCGAAAAGTAAGTAAATGCACAATTTTGTGGTACTTGAGTAATTTTATTTCCACTACTCACACTGTGCTGTATACTCCGACAGCTTTAATTACTGCCAATTCAAATTATTACGGGAATACAAAACATAATCAGCTGATCATTTATGATTTAACGTTATAGATTATAATTAGCCCCACCTTCACAAGCTGCAACATCGGTGTTAGACATTAATGCATCAATAATTAGAATAAATAATAGAATATATTTTTGTGAAACGGGCCATTTTACTTCTGGTACGTTTACTTCTGGTACGTTTAAATATATTTTGATGCTAAAACTTTTGTACTTTCAAATAAGCAAAATTTTGTTTGCATGACTTATGACAAAGTATTTCTACTTTGTGGTATTACTACATTTAAAAGATGTGAATACTTCTTCCACTGCTCTTTAGTGTAAAGACAATCCAAACAGATCGATAAGGCTCATTGAGAAAACCCTCCGTGGGTATAAAGAAGTTATTTAAGTGATGCAAGTTAAAGTAGAAATACCACAAGGTGATAAATGTATTCAAAGTGTCAAAAGTAAAAGTATCATTGTGCAGACTGGCTCCTTCCGTCAAGATATAGTATTGTTTTATTGTTGTATTATATTTTATAAGCTGATCAAATATATTTTTAAGTAACAATTCAACTAAATTTGTAAGTATAGCTGGAAAAAAGTAATAAGACGTGGAATATGTTCCTCAGAGTTTTAAGCCTGAAGTAGCAGAAAATGCAACTTCTAAAGTAAAGACCAAGTTCATCACTTGAGTAAAACCACTGAGCGCAAAACAAAAACTGCAGTTTATCCAATTTAAAGAATAGCTTTTTTAAAACTAATATTCAAACAGCTAAATAAAAAGTATTATTTCCCTGCAACAACTTTTAAAAGTTGATATTCTTGCTCTGTATGTTTTGTAATTTTTAAAGTGTTTAAATGCATTATGTTGTATATTGTGTCAACAGTCAAGTCAAATTAGCATAAAATGTAATTTGCCCCAAAGGGTTTTCCACATTACAACATGAGAAACACTGTATCCTCTAAACTAGTTTATATGGAGGATGGTTCACATGCTGCAGCATAAAATAACCCCCAAAGGAGCAAAGGTGTACGAGTAAAGTCTATATGAATAATAATCGTGCCTCTCAACCTCAGTCTGCGAATGATCCTGGAACAACTAAATCATTAGACGGCCACAATGGACCACCAGGTCAGAAGTGTCCACGGGGACGCGGCCTTAAAAAGAAGGAAGAGGATCAAAATCAAGGGCTGGATTTGGAAACAGCTGCACTGCATCAATGCAGTGGACGGTATGGGGCCGCGCAGGGTCCACTGTGGAAGGAGTCCCCCTGCTGAGTGCAAAGATGTGCAGTGACAAAGCTGGAGGGGGGTCTGGAGGGGGAGGAGGGACTGGACAGGATGCTGCAAGTGGACATTTAACATGTGCAAGGATGGAAATGATAGATGGATTGTTTAGGGAGCAATGAGACATGGAAGTGTAGGAAATCTGCTACAATCGAGCAATGAGAGCGAAATCAATCATGAAACAGAGTTCATTTTGAGAGACAAACCCAATTTTGTAGAGGCGCAAACAGGAAACAGCAGCCTGAAGAAAACATGAGAAAAGAGTCAACATTAAATGTATATAATGGCAATCATCACACCTGATGGATTTAGATTTGGTAACAGACTAACGAAACAGGTCCAGAGTTGAACGCCGATACAAGATAGAATATTAAATATTGTGTTTTTATAGCAAAAGCCCTTAAAGCCACGTGTAAAGAATTAAGGACAATCATATGTTGACTGACAATTTCAACAGAATTTTTTTGCTTTTCTCTGTCAGAATATTGTAACTGTCTGATAGATTAGGACTAAAAATAAAGCAGCAAGTAAAGAACATCTCTACCGATTTTAATCTGCAAACCAGGAACCATTGTGCCATTTATTTGAAATATTAAAGGACATGTATGTGATAGATTTGGAGTTGTACAACTGTCGAAATAATATGCATTTGCTGTTTTTCTGGCAGCGCTGTGGTGATAGAATCCACCTTCATGTGTACTTAGAAGTAAAAACTATATTACCCTTTGAGGAAAGTGTTAACATTGTAATCAGCAGTACACAATAAAGGTAGTCTGGATGTTTTTAATACATGTTAACTGTACACGAAGGAAAGAAAACACCATAATTAGACATTTTGAAATTATATCCCTTTTCATTAAGAAATGACGTTAATACCAGAATCATTTTTCCATAATGATGCATCATTTATCTCATTTATATTAGATCACACAAAGAAATAAAAAAATTAATTAAAAAGTTATTAGCATTGGACTGAGTCCAACGCCCCACTGAGTCCACAGCGAGGGCTCAGTGGGGCGTTGGTGAACTGGGAGGTACCAAATAAGACAGTTTTTGATCATAATACTTAAAACATAAAAATACTATATTAATTATTACACAGGTAGAAGTACAGAGGCTTAGCAGTCTTGAATAGTTCAGGTACAGAACATACACAAAAATCTATCGCTTATTTTTCTTCATAACAAGATGCAACATCAAATTTCAAATCACACATTCACAATCTTTGAACATTGTCAGTAAGAGAACAGAAAAAGAGGGACAATTCTCCTGCTACACTGATCACAGGAAAAAAAATAGTTTTTATATAAGTATATATATATATATGAAACATATATATTTTAAATTAACAGTCAAATATATGAGCATATATACATAGTTTTACAAGGTAGCAAAGGCAAAAAAGCTATTTGCAACATCCCCCTAAATCCTATCGGAACAGATAATTGTTATACATTATCGATGACAATTCCATTTGAAAAACAAAACAAAACATCTTAAAACTACAAGTTAAAAGTCTGTCAAAATATTAGAGAACCCATCTTTGTTTCAAAAGGGAAATTAGATATTGCACCTTTGTTTAAACCAGAGTACAATAACATGACAATGAAAAACAGCATACAATGCACAACAGGAATTAAATCAGAACTACTGCCGCTGGCCGACACTAATCCCGCTTTTTAAACCGTGTAACAAAAATACATTTCCTGTAACAAAACATCACAGTTTCATTTCACTGAATTATGTAAAAGGAAAAAACATTTGAACACACTCGCTGTTAAACATCTTATGACAACACGGTATTCAAGACTGCTAAGCACATAATCATGGTTTCATTTCAAACAGAACTAGAAAAAATAGATCATATTGCCTTTTGAAATGTTACAACTCTGGTCAGTTTTGGCGGTACAATCGGAGTCAAAGACAGGAAAACATAGAAAAAAAACGAAACAGCTCTCTCAAGTCCAAAAAGGGATCCCAGATACTGTCTATTCAAAATAACAGTGTACACAAGCATTTAGTAACAAATAACTGTTCCTGATTTTTAGAAATATTACTTTATCATATAAGTCATTCTACAGCTAGTGTTTCTCACTAAGAAAAAAAGTCTTCAAGGCGTTGTAAATCTAGAACCCTCCGTTAAAAAAGGGTTGTTTCCATCCTCAGTGATTCAAGTCAGTCCCCGTCGCCTCTTAATGATCCTGAGAGTAAAAACAGTTTGTTCATCATCAACATCGCAGCCGATTCCACTCGCATTTAAAGAGAAATCAGGTGATGTGTTATACTTTCAACCAATCCAACCAGTAAGAACTGTGCCATCGAGCTCCATTGAGCACACATTTCCTTTCACAGACTACATTATTAAAGTAGTTGCTTGTTTTTAAAGTTTACATCGACAGTAGGAACCAATGGGTTTGGAGCTGAGAGCCAAAGTCATGTACTGAGGAACAGACTAACATTATTGGTTTTGCTCTTTTTATGGGATTTGTTGGCAATCAGGACTACCAGCCTCCTCCTGATCAATGTGTTCTGCCGGTTCTCACCTGAAGGCCCGGGGCTTGCGTTTGCTGAGCGCCCTGGTTGAAGTAGGCCACCGGCTGTCTGTAGAAGTCAACCCAGGCGTTGTAGTCAGGATTAGAGGTCTGCTGAGATCCAGGACCAGCTGTCTGGCCTGAAGGGGAAGAAAAAACACACAACAGTCAGGAAGGAAACAGAGGAGCCAGAATCGAATGCATGAAGTCAACCTGCAGGTTTGAGCTCATAATGAAACACTTCCACAAGTACTCACCCCAACCTTTGCTGTATTCAGGAGCAGAGCTCTGGGCTTGGTTTTGCTGACCTGAAAACCAACAAAGGAAGAGTTCCAATTTTGTTTTTTAAAATAATACAAGTCTTAAACACAGCATTTCCCCTCTTGACTCTTTAGTTTTAGTGAGCAGAGTTTTAAACTTAAGTTGCAAGCAGGATGTATGCTCATCTTTCTAACATGGTGGGTAAATAAATGGCTTCATCAGGCTTGTATTTAACAAAAAAAGGATGATTTAAATTTAAACTTCTGTGGAACAACAAAAATATCCCGTTCTCTTGCCTAGCTTTTTATAATACTGCTCCCAGTCCATCTGGCTCGTCTGGGATCCATTGTGACCTGAAACCAGACACACATAACACCACCACAGTTACTGACAGTGGCCTTTGCGTTTCCCTTTTCACCTTCTGCTCTCATCCGTTTCCTAACGATTTCCATCGACAGCTAATTTAAAATCCGTCTGAACAGGAAAGAGGTGGTTAGCCACAGCGAGCGTCGCCATCTTATCCCAGCCTGCTGAAAACTGGCCACGCGTTCAGAGCCACGTTTAAAAAGGCAACACGATAAATTCAGTTTGTTCCCTCATTGAGCCGAGTGATCTAGCTGGGAACGGATCAGATTTCTAGTCATACGTGGTCAGTTCTCGGTGCTTTTTACTTACTGTGGTCCTGTTGGCCTTGAGGCTGCCATATTTGAAAAGTTGTACCCCACCCTCCTCCTCCTCCTCCTCCTCCTCCTCCTCCTCCACCACCTCCTCCACCAGTCATGAAGGTCTGAGCCCCACTTATGTAAAAATAAACAAGACAATTCAATGTGAGTAATAAAGTTGACAATCAATTTCTTACGACAACGTGAGGCGGTTTGAGGAGAAGTTGAAGCATACTGTTGAGGAGGAGTGGTTGGTCCTTGGTTGTAGGGATTCATACCGAAGCTGCTGTTGCCCCCCATTCCTGGGCCCTAGAGCACAGAAAGGGAAGAGGAGGCGAGTGAGGGACCACACTTGTGTTTAAAAAGGGAGCCAACAGGCAAGGTCAGAGGGCAGGGCCGGGCGCTGATGCACTCCATTAAGTCCATTTGATGGATTCTTTATGTTTAACCTCTGGTGACATCCTGCCGGCCACCAGCACAACAGCAACCCGGCAGCTCTCCGCATTGACATGTGCGCTCATGAATATCGGGCCAGACAATAGATTTTTGGGGCCTGGGCCAGACCACCTACCCCAATTCTCTCATCGATCAGCTGGCGGGCCTTCTCCAACTGCTGAGGGGTGCCTCGGATGGAGAAGATGCGCACGTTGGGGTCGGTGTTGGGCGGCGGGTTTCTCTGCAGCTCCACGTGGGCACGAGACTGCTCTTTGATGTTCTTGATGGTTTCTCCACCTGGGGAACGCAGCGAGGGATGCATCGTATTTAGCTAGGGCTGCGACTAGCAGGTGTTTTTGTTATTGGTTGATCTGATAAGGTGGTCAGAAAATACAGACAGCTATTCAAGAGCCCACAAGGAAGTTCTCACATGTCTTGTCTAAAAAAATATATAAATTTGGTTTAACTTTCACAGAAGAACGGAAAACAAAAAGAATCCTCACATTGAAAACCAAGAACTGGTAAAAATGGCCTTAACAATTAGAAAATGACTTCTCAACTACCTTGATAATCGTCTAATTGATTAATAAACTTATACATATGATCACAAACTGTGCGACTCACGTAAGACTTTCACAACACAGATATTAACATAAGATGAACTTCTTGTCAGACAGCAAACAGCATCTGAAACTCTTTCCACACTTTTCTGATGTCAGAATTTTGGCACGTCGCTTCCTACGTTTTGAAACCAACAATAAAACTGATAACGCCTACTTCACGTAGAAGGAAGAAAGGGTTTCACTCTCAAGCGCTCTTTCTTCACAAAACACCATCATTTGTATGTAGAAAGGAGCGCAGCACAAAGAACAACCGTGACTTTAGTAACGTAAAGTGCGTAATCGTCAGCGTAGAGGTGAATGCTTGTACGTCTTTAATATCTGAATCCATCCATCCAGTATGATACGACCGCAGCATTGAGCCAGTGCGATAGAGCTACCTTATGAAGACTCCGGCTTGCGTCTCACCACTTATCTACCCATTCTGTGGCAACATCCATGCAAATCAGGAAACAAAAGGAGACATCTCCTGCACCCCCCCTCCGCTGCATCAGATGCCAGCTCTCCGACGTGTGGGGAGAGCAATTACACCAGCAGGGAGAAATTAAACATAGCGGGCAGGAGAAAAGGGCCAAAATTGAAGCGTATCCTCCTTCTGGGATATCGTTTGTCTCTTTTACCCTTTTCATTCTTGACTCGGTGTTGTCCTCTGTGATGAGAGGAGGGAGTGAACGGGGGAGCATATAGACGCCGCCAACCACCCCCACCCCCCTCCACAACAGCCATCTGAAGGAAAAAAGGCTGAGGGTGCTTCCCGGGGGGACACCGGGGCTGTCCCAACATCAATTACACATTTGTTCACTTGTGGCTGACACTCGGATGACCCCGGCTGACCTCCGAATGAAAACGCTCATCAAAAAAGCTCTCCTCCTCCCGCAGCCGATCCCTGGCTGCCAACAGACTGCACAGGGCCCATTAACCCATTGTCAACCAAATTAAACTTCTGCCTTAATGAAGCCATTATGAGCTCTTCTAGTCAGACGGCAGAGTGCAATGAAGACCCCGACTATTCATTTCATGGACTGGGCTGTAGTGAGGGCAGATAATACGGGCCTTATTAATGAGACTGGTTTAGTGAGCTGGAGAAAAGGAGGGGACACAAAAGTGCAACTGGTGACGGCATTCAGGGCAAACCCGATGGACTGGTTAGCTGCTGGTGGGGTGAAACTCTCCGGCCTCGAGGGAAAACAACAACAGCAGAATGTGTACCGAGCTAATTCCTAACGCAACAGTAGTGTTTACATGGAACTAGAGGTGGGCAGTATGGTTTAAAATCAATATTGTGTTGAGAAGAGTATTTTTATATCAATATATAATTAGGAAAGACGTGTAGTAACTTCCACTAAGAAAGATTGTTTTGCTTTTGATAACTCCATCAGGGGAACTTACAGAAAAGAAAAAGTGTAGTTTGTTTGTGTACTTTCCACTATGTTATTCATGTGTTCTGATAAGTTTGCTGTATGTTATACCCTGTTCTAGACCCGACATGATCAGTTAATCAAGCCATTGAACATTAACCGATAATCCATCCATCTATCTGCTTATCCTTTAGAGGGTCACGGGTGGGCGGGGGGGGGGTGGGTAGCCGGGTCCCAGCTGTCATTGGGCGAGAGGCGGGGTCCGCCGTAGACAGGTCTCCAGTCTATCACGGAGACTGACAGCCATTCATGCTCACATTCACACCTACGGGACATTTAGAGTCGCCAATCCACCTCAGCTCCACGTCTCTGGACTGAGGAAGGAAACACACAAATCCCCAATTTGGGGTGCCGTCTCTTGCACAAAGACACTTCAACATGTGGACAGGAAGAGCTGGGGATTGAACCACCAACCCTCTCACATAAAATCTCACTAAACACTATCCGTTACATTTTAATTACCAATTATTATGAAGTTGACGACTAAATTTGTAAAACTACATCATGTCATAATTTCGCAACACGATTCAATTAAGAACATTGTATTTCATCCCAGCCGTACAAGAAAGAAGAGATGAAAATCAAGCAGCATACTACTTTTCTAAAAGATGAATACAGATATATCAAAGTGAAACGTGAGAAACCAAGATTAGCTAATGTAAGGCTGGATTTAAAACAATTTGAATCATCAGGGGTATAGAGTAAAAGTCCATTCTTCACATTAAAAGCAGTAGAGTCTGACATATAAATGTCAACACCTACAGTCCACTTACTAGCTTTCAAAACAAGCAAACTTAAACTTTCAAATGAGCGAACTCCATCCAGTATGAGAAGCGACTGAAAGTCCTGGAAAACATAGTAAGTGGACCTTTGAGTTTAGATTTTTAGTTAAGTTGTTGGACGCTTGTTTCGGCTCTTGCACTGAACTCACGGCTGTGATAAAGTGTGAGCAGGTTGGTGGGTGGCTTGATTCATCAAGCTGTGTGTGTGTGTGTGTGTGTGTGTGTGTGTGTGTGTGTCAGAGCACAGGGGCAACGGGCTGCATATGGCATCGTAAAGATATTAATCACCGCACCCTTTAAGGGACGGCTGACAGCACCCAGACCCACCGCCATCTCCACCATATTGGCCCACTTCATATGCTAATGCGCAGAGAGGGGGACGCAACGCCCAGGTTTATTTGTTTCCCTCGCCCCACTACATGCACAAAAGCCACTTGACATTTCTATTGCCATGTTTTTATCTTAGGTAAAGAGGCCTACTCCCAACCCGCCCACAACTGCACGCACACGCACACACACCAAGGCGACATGCATGCAAACACACACACACAAGCTCCTTCCAATGCAATGGTCAATGACTTTTAAATAGCTGGCAATAGAGTGGGCATGAATAGCCAATAAGCTAATTCCTTCTATTCATTCCCTCGCTGCACTCTATTGGGCTGAAAGACCCTCATTAGATGCCAGGCAGCCTTCCACATGATTGAGGGCTGTTATTATGCACCTTTAACAATTAATGTCACATTACACGCATTATCCCCGTCATTAAGCCCTTAGTGAAGCCAATGAATGCCACTTGTGCTGTATACATGAGGCCTGGAGAGAGAATAGGAGGGTGGTCACTCACCCCCCTCTTCTCATCAGTTTCACGCAGAACACCAAACTGCATTCAGTTATTAAAGGGAGAAGGCAATCTGGCCGTTTGGATATACTCTTATTAAGACTGTTCATATTGATGGACTCTTTATACCGGGCACGCTCACACTGAAGTCGCTCACAAAAAAAGTCTCAGCTATACAAACAAAGCACAAACTTACAGCAACAACACGTTTAAACTGAGTTATGAAACTGAATGAAAACTTGTTCCTTACCTTTGCCAATCACGAGTCCACACTTATCGGCCGGTACTGCATAGGTCACCTCCTGCAGTCCTCCAGAGCTTCCCATGTTACAGTCACTTCGCCCCCGACGTCCAATTACACCTCCAAATCCATCTCGCTCCTACGGGAAGGGAAGCAGCAACAGTGTTTTGATGCAACCGAGCAGTTTGCAGGAAATTTAGAGATTCTCATTTAATGGATAGGAAGCTTTTTATCATATTTACTGGAGCGATGTAAACAGAGAGGATGAAAGCAGAAACACTAACCTGAGCAGTCTGGACCAGTTCATTGATGAGGTGGACCGCATGGTGGCAGTGGTCTGGCTGACCCATCACCTGAGCGATTCGGTCAGGACTGACTCCATCATCTGGACGACAAACAAGGGACACCAAAGGTCTGTAACCATCGTAAGACGGCATACGTATTTACTTTTGAGCGCTTTAAATACAACTCATTATGTAAAAGCCTCGGGACATTGTTTAACTTTAGGTTTGAATTTCACAGCTCAAGTGAGTAGGGATTAAGAAGGAAGAAATTACGAATTTTGGGATTATTGGACTGGAATACATATCAGCCTCCAGATGCGAAACTCAACGTCCAACTTGTTTCTATTCCTGAGGCAACATTATCCGTCTTTAGGGATTACACATTTCTACTTTACTTCAGGCCTTGTTTCCTCCTACCTTGTTTGAACTGGATCCGGACCCCCGCATCATTCTGAATCTTCTTGATCATTTCCCCGTTCCGGCCGATGATGATGCCGACTGCAAACCTGGGCACAACCACCTGGACGAAGAGGACAGAGAGAAGAATTCAGAAAAGATTGCAAAAATATCCGATGCGAATGAATAGAATCACAGTATTTTTAGAAGTGGAACAAAAGCTCTTACATCCAGACTGCTTCCCCCCATTTTGGATCCAAAGTCTGCCCGGCCCACCCTGAAGTCTCCTTGGTCCTTGTCTCGGATGAGCTTTATCACAAGTTCACGGGCTTGCTATGAAGACGATTGAAAGACAGAATCTTTATTAAAACATTATTTTTAAACAAAGAATGTGAATCTTAAGTGTCCAGCTGGAATTCCCAATAAAAACAAAGAGACTTTCAAATGACTGGAACGCTGAAGGTATAAAATGTGTAAACTTGAGTGTAAACTGGCAGCATCGCAGCGCACACTGAGCTCCTCTGTGACCGACCTGCACTTTGTGGGGATCCCCAGTGATTCTCAGGGGCTTGTCTGCTCCAGTGGGCATGGGGTCATCCTGAATCATTATCATCTGCACTCCTGTCCTCTCCTGCAGGGGTACAATCAGACCGAGCAGAAACACACCATAGAGTTACCCGGGGCTCTAAAGACCATTCACGCTGAAGGGAGCAAATTCTGCCACATCTCCAAGAACAGGTTTTATATTTTGATGTAATCTTGGCCATCTCGACCAGAAGTGGAATAACTATGAAGGATGTGAAAATGATGCTTAGGTTAGTGTGAGAGAGAGTGTGTGTGTGTGTGTGTGTGTGAGAGAGAGAGACAGCCGTAGAGCTCACCCCTACAAATAGACAGAACCCAGACCATAAATACACCAAAACCATATTTCTGATGCACTAAACTCACTTCCTGGTTTCTTAAAGTACCGATTAAAGAACCGGGTTCATACTAATTTGTAGCCGATTTCAATTCAGAACCAGGTTTAGGGGGGGGGCTATTTCAGTTTAATAGTATGCCAAGAATGTGGTTTAAATCAGTGTTTCCCAGACTAAATGACAAAACATTGTGACACACTTCATCTATGAATCATAATTTGTGGGCAAATAAACGTTCCTGACCATTTTTACTGCCATTTCCGCATCACGATACATCCATCAGAGATATATACATTTGATAAATATGTTATTGAAAACATATGCACATGTTAAATACTTTAAAAAATACATTCATTTAGCCAGAGATAACAGGCTCTTGTTTTTCTCCTCTCAGTAAAACAAACATTGTATAACTGCTATAAATAGACTGATTATTGAGCAATAAAAACAACCAGGCTCCCTCATATGACTCAAAGGTGTACTGCAACTTTAAATCTCAAATACAAGATGGAAGAAATTCTGCACATTTATTTGGCAACCCTAATAAAACTGTTATGGTAGAGTTGTGTTTAGTCCAGTCTGTGAGTCAAATGTTTAAGAACATAAACGATGGCCGACTAACAGAGTAGAGCTGTGTTTCACTCAGTGTGGTCTACTAGCAGACCTGCAGCTGTTTGATGGTCTCTCCTCCTTTGCCGATGACGAGGCCCACTTTGTTGGCGGGGATGAGGATCTGTTGGATGGAACTGCCGTCCATGTCGCTGTGAAAGCCTGGACCGTACCGACACTGCTCCACAATCTCACTCAGCAGCCTCTTGGCCTGACTGTGGGGTGGGGGGGCAAGAAATACATTCATCACCACAGTTCCACTCACATCTCTCTTTGTCAAATGTGAAAGAGTTGTTCAGGTGATTCAGTGACTGATTAAGTGGAGATGTGAAAAGAGATTTGAGTTCATGCCCTCTGTGTCACTACAATAGGGCACACTTTGTGCAAATCTGTCAAAGTTGAGACTTACTCAATGTTCTCTGGGCTTCCAGTCAGCGTGCAGGGCCGGTCCAACATGCCTCCGCTGTCTGCAACAACATCAGCACAACAGTTAAAGAGACTGCACACAGGGGAACACAAGGAGGAAAAAGGTCAGATTATTGCACGCTAATAGACAACTGCAACTGTTCTTCTGGCTTCTGGTTATAAAAACTGCTCGCATCCGATATAAACATCACACAAGTGTGATATTAGACCATGACGCATCTTAAACTCTGATCTAAGGTGAGCACAGATATCAGAAATACATCTTCTTAATTTAACACCAGTATCGGATCGCATGGAAGCGTTTCGCTTCTTCTTCCGACACTCGACACGAAGTAGATCGCAACTTTTTTTTGCTAAGGATTGGCGCCCCTCCTCAGTCACAGAGTCAGAGCCTTCGTGGTATGTTGCACTCCCTGGAACCGAGATACAACATTCATCTCACAGCGATACTCTACAACCAAACCAAAGCTGAAGTCATGGAATCAGTGAAGCAAGCGGGTAAGAAAGAAGTAGCACACTATGAGCTGTAACAGGGATGTTTTAAAGAGAAGTCTATGTTATTTATTTGTGAATAAGGGCAGCTTGTTATGTCAATTGACAGACAACCAACTTGACAGAGTAAAACGCCTGACATTCATTGTGATAATCTACTATTGCGAAACATTTCCAACACTACTGCACAAAAGGGAAATAATGGCAATCTTTAAAAGACCCCATATTCTACTGTTCATGGTTCTGGCCTCTGAGGAGACACAATGGATCTCCTAAAGCAGAAACAAGGGGCGTAGACAACGCATTTAGTCACCTGAAGCAATCTGGATCTTACAACCCGATTCCAGCTGGATTCTTGAGATCTGCTCTCCTCCTTTTCCAATGACTACAGAAGCAGGGGAGAGACAGTTTAGACACCTTTTTGAATTTAGACAGGGGCCTTAAGCAGTGACCCAAAAACTGAGCAGAACGTCAATACTGGTGATTACATGAAACATTAATACCGATTATAATGAACTGAAGAGCTACTTACTGAATCCCACCATCTTATCAGGCACTTTATAGTCTTCTGTAGCGAGAGCCCTGGAGAGATTAGCACATGATCAATAGAGTGTTCTGATTGCTTCTTTGCTCTGATGGAAAACCTAAAGATGTAAGTTTACGGTCATTGAGGGCGTACAAAAAACAGAAAATATGCATTTCAGATTTAAATCATTAACAGAACAGAACAGCTGATTCATTTTCAGTCGATCAACTAATCGATTAATAGTTCAGCTCTAGAAATTATGAGTTAAATCATAGTTTTCTTAAATTTGGTTTACAAACGTTTTCTGGTTCTAGCTTCTCAAAAAGATGTTGCTTTTTAATGATTCCATTCTTCTTTTGGGTGCAAAACTACTTCAAATGTAAACAGTGCATCTTGTGTCTGAATTACACAGTTTATACAAGGAAAGACTAAACATCAATATAACAGGTGGGCCAGTAGTGTGTATGCAGGTGAGAAAAGAGGCCACAGTGAGTAAAATGTGACGGGAACAGCTTTGGGTTCAGAGGGTTCAATGAGGCACAGAGAAAACACTAAGAAGACAAGCAAGTGCATCAAAACGAACAGAAACACAGACGAGAGGAGGCTCTGCTCACCTTTGATGTACCATTGCACCGAGGTGGTTCCCTACTGAGAGAGGTGAGAGGGAAGCAAACCAATTAACACCAGAGAAATAATGTGAGATCATGGTTAATAATAAACTATTGTAAATATCTGTGAAAGTGACGAAGCAGCAAAATGAAAAAGGAACGAGTCACGGAGGGGAGCAAGATGGATGTGGTGCTGCCAATCCTCCGTGTTTGTGTCTGACCCACAGCGGGGGGGCTTCCACCAGCATGGTAATCAGGTCTGAGAGTGTTTCAATCAGAGCCGCTCAGAAAAAAAAAAGAAAAAGAAAAAAAAAAAAAGAGAGGCAGCAGCCGGGTCAATGGCTGCTGGTCCTGAATTGCATTTTGACGGGGTAGCACCAAGCAAGGGTCCTGCAGGGTCAGTGGAGGATGTGCTGCCATGAACGTGAACACCTGAGTTGATATCTAGCAACTTCAAATCAATTTTATGGTCGTTTGCACTGATTTCACTTCCTCTGGAAACGGAACAGCTATGAATATAAAACAGGAGGTGTACCGCGTTTATACGAGGACAGGGCCGGAAGATAAAATGGGAATGCCGTGAGTACATTTGTACATTTGATAACTAAATACTGAGAGCTAACTGCAGCGCTACAAAGATACCATTTCTGTTATTCCCCCCAATATGGTGGGACAGCCTTCACCGAGAGCAACCGAGGACACGTTGTTGCAAACAGTGCCAAACAAACCTAAACCTGCTTTCAGGGCTGAACTATCATACAAACAACTGACAAGACAAGAGGACGGCGGGATAAATAGTTAGCGTTTCTTCTTCATGGACATGAAATGGAGGAAATCTTTCATACATAAGCGACGGACAGCAAGATAGAATGACACGTTTTTCACGACACTGCAGCGTCAAGATACTCAATACTCCATTAAAAAACATAGCTCCTTCTGTATGTATGACCAGGTCCATAAACTATGAGACGAGCCACGTTCAGACTGCTGATCATTAACAGTTGAACATAGATCAATACATGAGAACGTTCTGCAGACGTGCAAATGGGACATGTATGCGTTGGTACTGAAGGCCTCTTACCTCCATTGTCTAGTGAGCGTTTCTGACCTCCAAAGCCGTAGAGGGAGTGGTCTGTGACCGGAGGGGAGCTGTTCATGTTGGGCATCTGGTCTCCTCCCATCTTGGCTGCCATCTGGGGAGACAGAGCAGGAAAACAGACAGAATAAAAAAGGTGAGAAGTGGATATGTTATGATTTTATCTTTGAACATACTGTTCCCTTTCCAAGACAACCCTTCATGAAGAGAGTGACACACTCTTTTCTTCTTGGTTCCTTAAAAGCATCGACTTTGCTGTGAAGTTGGGCCTTGACAGAGTCATCTGTAGCAGAGTGTTATTATTTGACAGCAGCTGAAAACTGCACTTTGTACATCACTACAGCAGCTTGAAGTGGTCTAGACTACCGAGAATCATGTTTTCCTAGAAACATCATGCGTCCGGTCTCTCTGACTAAACTAACTTCTTTCATGCTTTCACTGACAAATTACACAGATCATCACAGCACACGTCAGTTCTTCAACAGACTGAATTTGCCCGAAAGTTACAACAGATACGAGTGCTACGCAGAACAAAGACACATCGTATACTTTCCCAGCTCCTGAATCAAGTGAAGGCTCTTCCAGTTTTTAAAGGTATGTAGATGAGCAAAGGCAGACGAGAGAGAAAAGACAAGAGACGGCCAAATTCCATATTTACCTTCAGTGATCGTAAAACTATTTTAATTGCCTTTAATTGATTTTTAAAAATCTGGAATGGATGTAGTTTTGTTCAGAGTGGCGTCAAAAGGGTGACGATTACATTTTATTTGAAACTGTGTTATACTTTAATGTTTTTCTATTTCTGTTTGTCTGAGAATTTAATACATGAGTGGAGATACAATACTAAATCATGAATTTGACAGATTAGAGTTTACACGGGATGCGTTAAGTAACCGAGTAAAAGCTGTCACAACGACCACACAAACCAGGTCTGACGCAAAACACGGAGGCCTCTCATTATGTCGAAGTTTGTGCAACTTTACACACTGCAACCTGTTAAGCAACATAAGTTGCAGTTAGCTTAGCTAGCTAACGTACTATCACAAGTTTGATACCCTGCAGCTTGACCCGCCACGTGACCATGGCTAATATTTAGTTTGGACGTGAATCCTTAACAGCTGTGTTGTCACACAAGCAGCTGTACAAGAACTTTGCCTACAGTAAATAAAAACTGCCGTTTAAATCAATATCAGCTGTCCGTACCTGACCAGTTTTTACTCGCCGTACCAAAAAAAGTCTTGGCTCACACCTTCACATAGTCCTGTCATGTAAGAACACAGTACAATAAAACAATTAGTTGATGTTTACTACATACATTTCACGACACGTTTCTCTTTTAATGATGGAAAGTGTCCAACCCCCGCAAAATAACTTCAAGTAGAGTGCAGTTATTTGCATCACAGAGTAGCTAAAAAACAAATCTATTTCTACTTTTAAAATCCTCCACTTTCCAAACTAAAGTAGATACTTGTGTTCTGCAGTGACGGACATTTAAATCTTCAGTTATGCTGCCCGAAAGCGCCAACAGCATTTTCCACGAGCCGTTAATCTGCCACCTCTGCTTCCATACAAAAGTATAGCATTTCAGAAAATTACACCAAATTGACATCTGTGCCTGACTGGAATCTCTTTCACGATATGAAAATATAGTGACAGCAATTAGAGTCTTCCATCACCTTCGGGGATGATTATCTACTTCAGAGCCCAGCGGTTGAAGTGAGAGGAAATAAGGAGGCAGGAAAGGAAGCAGGTGTGGGGGGGGGGGGGGGGGGGGGG